GCGTAACTCGGGCTCTCGCTCGTTTGCCTCTATCGCGGGAGAAGACAATTGTTGTTGAGACAAAGGAGCGACAGATATTTTCCGAAAAAGGCCACTTATCGAATTGGCTGCCAATGCGGGGCGCGAAACGGGCGTATCGCCGATAACCGTGCGCGAATCGAACGCACGCCTTATTGGCCCGCGTCGACGAAACCCCACGAATGGCGAATGACGTGCAGATGGATTTGGGAATGGAGCGCGACTGCTCGCCTACTGACGAAAACAACGTTTGTCATTCGACAACTTGAGCTGATTATGCGCGCAACTGTGTTTCGCCTGATTAATCGAGCGGAACTAATGAAGCAAATCATGTAAAAAAATAAAGGCACGTCGACGACTGTACGGCGCCGTTGTCTTTTTACTGTTTACCATCCGTGTGTGGTACGAGTCGACATAGTTCACGATCTGTCTTCGGAAAAAAATCAAAAGAGAAAGAGAGAGAGAGAAGAGAGATGTGTTTAAGCGGATTGCTATCGTAAAACTCGTTTTCTTAGCCGACTTTTCATTTTATAGTTGTGTTTTTCGTTCGTTAGTTGCGCAACACATCGATGCCCTGAGAAAACTGACGCCGCCAAAGCGCACGAAAGAAATAATCGAGATTTGGACCTACGCCGTTGCGGCAAATAGTCACGGGACGGTCCCGGTCGGCGGCAAAACGGCACGTCGGGCGAGGGAAGAACGATAGCGGATTTCCCGCTAACGAAATTGAACCTCTCCAGCTTGCGCAATTGCGTACTTTCACATTGACGCGTTAAAGGGGGGGAAAAAAAGTCACGATGTCGTTCGCCAATCGGAAACATCGATAACTTATAGTTGCGCGAATAGCGAGGTGCGAACTGTCGTTGGTTTCCTCGCGACGGGAGAAAGAGAGAGAGAGAAGAAAAGGTCGCGGGGGCCGATAACGAAGTAACTACGAACGCTTCGGTATGATTCGAGCAATTGCATCAGTGCTGTGGGATTTCGCGAACTCCAATAGGGTTTATCGCGAGAGCCGACGAGCGCGATGCCGGCCTTGAGAGCCACTGATCGAACGCTGAATATTTCATTCTTGCGATTTGTAGTTTTTCTCGTCACCGCGGTGTTCGCTCCTGCTTCGCTATATTGGACGTTTGAGAGCGAATTAAATTCATCGCATTATTCGAGCTCGCGAATGCTGCTTCTTTTCCTTGACTCGTTTTTTATTCTCAATCGGACGAATAAATTACGTAGATTGTTTTTTACCGTTACTTGCGATAAGTGAGTTTGGGATGGTAAAGTCGTCGTGTTTAATTTCAAGTACGTTGCTTCACAGCAGAGATTCGATTGGTCGCAATTCAGCCTCGTGGAAAAAATTTGACGCTGCTCGACAGTCGAAAGCCTTTCGTTTGTATCGTTGAATTGTCGTTAGTCACAAGCGATTTGTTCGACTTTCGAATAATTTTCCATGCTCCCCTAAAGGGTCGTTACTTACACAAAGTTGTATATCACGCACATAAGTGCGTGCTTCATAAGCTGTCCAAGCCAACGCTCTTCGACAAACCGAACGGCCAATTAAAGGTACGAGCGTCGCTCACATTGCTAAAGTTTCTTGTCGAGATGTTCAAAGAATGCGATTGCTTCCTTTTCATCGTGTTGGCGTCTCGTGTGACTACGAATTATCCATATATCAATGCTAAACAGAGCCACTCGAATATAATTACGACATTAAACAGGGAGCAACGTCCACTGATAGTTTTTCTAACGTCATTTATTGTTAGTTAGTGCTACTTTGGTTACTTGGGATATGAATAGATAACACATACCTATTTCTGTAATATCATGACTTGTCGTGTAGCTTATTTCCCAAGAACTGTACCATCAATTGTATAAAGCAACTCGCCGCTGACCTATAAATTTGCCATTGGAATTCGAATGGTTATAATTAACTTAGTGCGTAATGAAGTCACAAATGAAATGAACCTGAGTGAACTCGAGTAACAAAAAAAATAAGTAAATAAAAAAGACGAGAAGTCATTCAAACATAAAAATCGATGTAAAACATTGTCATAAAAATAATTAAAACAAACGAACCAGTCTCGTAATCAACAAAAATTGATTGTTTTCAGAATCGTTCGCCGACTGGCTAGAAGAGAAGATCGACATCCCAATCTTCGAGGAGCTGCCAGTGCCGGAATGCGGTCAAAATCGTGCTGTAACAGCGATACCATACCCGGCCAAACCACAGCCGATCCACGTGGTTTCGGCAACGCCAATGGTAATCGGTGTGAACGGCGGCGACACCACCCAATCGTTGCTACGCGAATTCGAGACGGTACTCGGTGACGTCGAGGCTTGTCATCAGATCGCTTCTACTACCACGCTAACTCCGCCTCAATCGCCACCTCCGATTTTATGCAAGCAGCAGCAGCAACAACATCTATTACAATCGCAAGCTCATCTACTCGTGTCACTGCAGCCGATCCATCAGCAGCAACAAACTTTCGTCTATGAACAGCAACAGCATCAACATCAGTATCACGAGGTACGTTATTTTGCTAGACGGTCTGATGACGAAATGTCAGTTGGTGGTGCGCATATTTTGTTTCGTTTTTTGAAAAAAGAGCTTTTTATGTTTGTGTGGAGAGGTGCGAGTCAATAGTCTATTAAGCGAGTTCCCGTTTGCTTGTTTAACTTTTAGAATCTGTCGCAATTGTCAATAATATTCGTCAAAATAGTAACAATATTTAGGCTGAATATAAAATTGTTGGGTAGGAACACGCATCAATAACCAACCTCCATGGCCAGCCACAGTCATTGAATACCAGCTATGCTATACTCTTGAACAACGGCAATGCCACCAACGAGCCTATTAACCAGCATCAACAGCAACAACATGTCACCGAACAATGGACCGCCGAAAATCTTTCGCTCGATCCCCTGGTACACAGCGGTGACGTAGCCCAAGAACTAGCTCAGGTAGACGAGTACGTACGAAGTTGCGCCGAAGACGTTGCACCGTCGCCATCGTGCTCAAGCACCAGTTGTAGTTCCGAAGATTCGTCCGATCCCGATTGGTCGTTTGAATCATCCTCGGCATCGACTAGCAGCAGTCCGCGTAAAATCAGCAGTACCGGACGTGGCGCTGGTGGACGTCGCGGTAACAAGCCATATTCTCGACCCAATGTGGAAGACAAGCGTGTGCGCAAAAAAGAGCAGAACAAGAATGCCGCGACGCGTTATCGTCAGAAAAAAAAGCAGGAGATCAAGGAGATCGTGGGCGAGGAGCAGGAGCTCAACAACAAGAACGAGCAGCTGCAGGTCAAAGTCAAGGATCTGCAGCGTGAAATTGGCTATCTCAAGGGCCTCATGCGTGACCTGTTCAAGGCTAAAGGTTTACTCAAATAGATTGAGAAACGTCTCGTAGTAGAAAAGCGCGATTTTAGCTGATCTTTTTTTGGGCGCAAGGTATACGGCTGCGACGATTCTTCTTTCTTTAGAGTCTTATTGTATCTTTTGTTTATTATATTATCTGTTTTTTTTTTCTCTAATTTTATGAGCACTTATAGCCCCGTTTCTTTACTTTCATCCTATTTTTTTTATTATTGACAATCTTAGTCTATGAATTAAATCTATATTATGTATGGCTTTTTATCGATCTACGAAAGTGGCGTAACTTTGATTTTTTTATGTACGGCGTATTGTTAATCAAATATTCTCTCTCTATCTATCTATCTATCTATCTATCTGTTATTATGTATCGTATATTTTTAATCAACCAATATTTCTTTAATTTTTTAGAAGTAGCTCTTATATGTTTAATGTATTTTTTTATTATTTTTAAACGACCCTCCGACACTGTGTTCTTGCGTAAGTACAATAATATTTCTGCGCTTGAAGCAAGCGGTACTCAAGTCGTCTGTCATGCGTCAACGTCAACTGACAGAGCACTGCAGGTTGAATCGAAAGTGTGTATATGTATATTATGTGTCCGTAAAACATCGATCTCTCACTCACTCCTTTTATAAAAAAAATCTACCGACAACAAATACTAATAATGATAAAAGAAAATTGTACATTTTTTCGCAATCTATTCACTTGATACAGCGATGAATTTCGTTTTTCTTTAATTTGTTCTTACATTTTAATGTAAGGGGCGCCAAATGGTGGATCGAGATGCTTCGACTGAAACCGACAGCCTTGTGATGTCTAATGACGGAAATCTGCTGTTTTTCGGCGTAGATCGATTTTGCGTTCTCGGCTTTGCTACAGGATATCCCCAGCCGGAGGATCATGTGTTAAGGATTCATTCCAAAAGTTTGTTTATATGAAACAAAAAAAAAGCAAATACGTGCGAGCGGCATTGTATACCTTTAACCCGCCGTTGTCATACAACTACTCCTTCGACTGAACGAGCAATTGTATCACGATGAAATAAATTACAAAGCAAATAAATGTGGGTTATCAAACATATGTACATTATTTTATTAATTCATCCTACTTAAAATATGATTTATTCATTTCCTATAACAATTATTGACGGCCAGATAACAAAATCACAGTTCATCCCCACTTGATGCTACATGCTTCCTTTCACTTTTTTTCTATCGAGGTGCAAGCGTACAGTCATTCACGCTATACAACTCAGTCGTCTGACGATCGCTCCACTATAGCACCGTAAGTACATCTTTTTTCGTTTTAGCGTGTAACAGGTTACCAATAATCTTTAATGCGACCAATGCAATTAATTAACATACACGATTGAGGAGTGTACGTAAGCATAAAATTAACACGCTGAGTCAATGTAATGTTTTTTTCCTTAACTTATTCATCAACATTCATTAGTCTTCAACTATAATTACGGCTGATTATTAAAAATATTCCTTTAATACAAGTAGAATGATTCGTATATATTTTTTATGATTATGATTTATGATCGATAAGCTTGGAAGCTCCTACATTAACAAGAACATTTTTTGGAATATACCGATCTTATCTATACCTGCTAACTTCGCTCAAAGCAATTAAATTATGTGAAAAACAACTCGACGAATATACTGAACCAGAATTATTTCAAACAAGAAAATTGCTTCTTGGCAAACAGTCACATTACAAATTCTCATTGACGCGTCGAGTATGCATAATTGTCCGATCAAAGATCACGCGCGCGCAGACTATCCTTACAAGTCAACCGAACGAACAAAAACAATTATATCGCAATGATGAATATTAAGAATAAACACACTTTGCAGGGGGGAAATCGAGGCCACGCCTTAACGGCTGTACTCTAGTCCTTGAAATAGATTCCACAAGCGCGTTTAAAAAAAGGAATTTGTCACGAAAAAAAATAAAAGAATTAGATCTATCGCTCGACGTGGATCTCGTCACATCAGAGCAATATAGATAAAGCAATAAAGAAATAATCTCCCTTAGACACGCGCAGACGCATAATAATCACATTACATCCAACAAGTGTCTGCAAAACATGGGCGGCAGCAACTGCAAGAGCTTCTCACCAAAGAACAGCGGAAAGGTCAAACCGTCCGCTAGCGGCAACAACTCGTTCTCCTGCAAATCCGATAACGAGTATGATGGTAAGTGTCCATCTGTGTGCATTTCGTGTAGTCGGATTCTCAAAATACAGCGTTCGCCTTGCCATATATGTGTGTTTGTGTGCGCGTATATCTATATATATATATATATATGCTTTTATCCTGAAAATCAATGCGAGCGAGCTTTCCATGCGAAATTTAAAACTAAACAATCAGATCAGTCGGACTTTCGAATATATAAATTAATGGTGTAATCTTGATTGCCTTTTGTCTCTCTCTAGACTTCGAAATTCGAAGTATTGAAGGTCGAAATGGTGTAAAAACATAATTAAATGTTTGCATTGGGCTGTCGCGCAGGAGGTTATAGCCCCGTTGAGCGGATCTAAGAAAGAAAAAACGCTGTAAATATTGCTCAAAGTTGTGAAAGTATGCATATGTCCTTGATAACAGCAGTTTATAACTGATTTGGTTTTTCTTATTTTATAGAATGTGCGCGTGATTACGAAATTAGAACACGCTCACTATAGGTATAAATTTACGCATAATAATGTCCGATAAATGTAAAACTGATAACAGTTTATCTGGCTCACCAAGAGAAATCAATAAAAACAATACTAATGTTAATGTCCGTAGCTGTTATTGTCCCAGTAAGCTAGTATTGCTTATTAATCTTAAATGGCAAGTGTTCACTTCCTTGTTTATTAAAAATTCAAGGCAAAGCAGAGAGTGCAGACTACATTGAAGATGTGGTTTGCAAGGAAGAAGATATTCAAGAAAATGAGATGAAACTACTGCCTTTGGGTAGCGATGGAGGAAAAATTCTACTGATCAAACAGCAAGGAGAACTACATGCTATTGGCACAAAGTGCACTCACTATGGGGCTCTTCTTAACACTGGTGCACTGGGAGAGGGAAGAGTTAGGTGCCCTTGGCATGGAGCTTGCTTTAACATCAAGACTGGTGACATCGAGGATTACCCTGGACTAGATTCTTTGCCTTGCTACAAAGTATTGTGAATCTAAGTTTTATTCATGATTAGTCATAAATCTGTAATTTTATAAGTTCATGATAATATGTGTAGCATCTAGTTTGATTATGTAGGTGTATTGCTTTACAATTATTCATCAGCTTGTTCATAGCACATTGATTCTTAGGCAAAGCATTTGTAACATAATCAAGTAATGTAAATTCAAAACAACTTTACAATAACATTTCATTTTTCCTTGTTTCAAGGTGTCCATTTTTAATGGCCAGGTCAAAGTTAAAGCAAAACGTTCAGAGCTTAAAGCCAATAAGAGAACAAAAGCCATGTGTGGTTTCAAAGTTGATCACCCTGAAACAGTTGTGATTATTGGTGGTGGTCCATCAGCAGCTACATGTGCTGAAACTCTCAGACAAGAGAACTATGAAGGTCGCATTATAATGGTGTGTAAGGAGAAAGTTTTGCCATATGACAGAGTAAAAGTTTCCAAAGTCATGGATTTTGATGTCCAAAAAGCTTTACTGAGACCGCAAAGCTTCTACGATCAAAACAAGATTGAAACAAAATTAGGAGTTGAAGCTATAAAATTGGATACTGAGAAGCAAATAGTCACTCTAAGTAATTGTGAAGTCTTAAATTATACATATTTGTATATTGCCACAGGATCAAAAGCTAGAAGACCCGATGTGCCTGGTGCTGACTTGAAAAACTCTTTTATCATGAGAACATATACGGATTCTGAAAATGTATACAAGTCACTTGCATCTGATAAACACGTTGTTATACTTGGATTAGGATTTATTGGTCTTGAAGCTGCTGCTTACTGTGTTGACAAAGTTGCTTCTGTAACAGTTATTGGAAGAGATACCATTCCTTTTAGAGTAGTATTTGGAGAAGAAATTGGCTGCAGAGTGAAAAAAGAATTTGAAGACAAAGGTTAAAGCTTAATTTTTTAATCTTTTTTCTTAATATGATTGTATTAATTACATTTTAGGTATTAAATTTGTATCCAAACAAAATATCTGCAAGCTCATACCAAAAGATGATGATCCAGGGGTAGTAGGCCAAGTCATGTTAAGTGATAAAACGGTATTACCAGCTGATATAGTTATATTTGGAGTTGGTTCTACTCTTTACACTAATTGGTTGAAAGGATCAAGAGTTAAGCTTCGAGATGATGGCTGTGTGGAAGTTGATGATGTATGTGAAGCTCTAAATTTCATTAGCTCAAATTTTTATATAATTTTCATAAATTTCTTTTGTATTCAGTATTTGAGCACAAATGTAAAGAATGTCTATGCAGGAGGTGACATAGCTCATGCTCCAGTTCATTGTGCTGGAGTTTCTGCATCTATTGGCCATTATGCTTTAGCTCATTATCATGGAAAAATTGCAGCCATGAATATTTGTAAAAAAAATACACCTTTAAAGGCAGTGCCATTTTTCTGGACAACCTTGTTTGGAAAAAGTTATCGCTATGCTGGTAATAATACAATGTTCAAGTCCTTTTTTCAACTTAGAATTTCAAATTAATTGTTAATACATTTAATATAGGGTACGGAAAACCGTCAAATATAAAAGTTCACGGTTCATTAGCAGATTTCAAATTCTTTGCATACTACTTCAAAGATGGTAAAGTTGTAGCAATGAGCAGTGTTGGTAGGGATCCCATTGTTTCAGACTTTGCAAATATGCTCTATGAAGGAAAAACTTTAACTGAGGAAGAAGTAGAAAATGATCCTATCAAGTGGATACGCAACAAACCCAAGGATCTTCAAGTTACACAAACACCTGTACAAGATATCAAGTCGTAAGCTTCGTGTATTATATTTGCTTTGGTTGCACATCAAATTCAAGAACAAGCTATCAGAAACATTTGTAATTTTGGGTGCTCATTTGTATAACTGGACAACTTTTTTTGAACAACTATAATGCATGCTGTTCATGAAGGTGTCAGAGTATAATGTACTTTTATGTACTTTGTAAATTTTTAAACTTTTAGGAATACAAGGCCTTTTCAACACAGAGGACATCATACGCTTGCAATGCAACGAATTTCGTTGAATAATTCTCCTAATATCAAGCTTTTAAAATACTCAATAATTGTATTTAATTTGCACAGGCTTCTGTTGCACTAATGGTAATTGCGATGTTTGTTGACAATTATTTTGAAACAGCGCATAGCTATCAGCTTACTTTCCAGCAGTATTTTGTACTTAAAAACGTACTTTTCATAATGTACCGGCATTTTTTGAGAATTGATCGTCTAAACAATAGCTTACACATGAAAATAGTAACAGCAAAGATAAATCAATGTTGCTTTGAACAAAGTGTGAAAAATTATATAATAAGTAAGATGTGATAATTATATTTTGAAAGTATTTTAATGATATGAAATTGTATTATGTACAAACAATAAACTTATTCATTCAAATGATATCTATCTTGATCTAATCCCACTTCTCACTAACTTTTAGATGTTCTAATCTCTCAGCTATGGTTACATGTTTTGCAAATTTTTCATTTCTGAGCCTTGCGCATTCTATGAAAAATTCCTTTGTTCGATTAAAATGACTCATATGTCCATATGATTGTTCAACTGTTAAATAAGGATGGCGTAACCACATCATGTTCATTTCTGTTCTTTCATAATCCTTTCTTAGAGCCTTCAATTCATATGGTTTAATCTCTTTAACAACTCGATTTTTTCTAAAAAATAATACCATAAAATATTTTTAACGAATAGCAATACAGTGACAAAGCAATACAATAGCAACAGTAACAACAATACAGTGATCTTTCGATTTCATTGCTTTTGTAAATTTGATTACACCTACGGATTCATGTAAACTTAGTCATAGTTTAAGCATTGAGATTTGAGTATGGGTATTAAAAAGTAAAATTTTAAATATATTTTATCTATTTGCATATAAAATTAGTTTCGAAGTGTAAGGTTAGTTGAGCGATATAGAACTTCTGAGTAATCAGTAACCAATAAAACATCATTTACCCTCTATACTTGAATCCAATCGGTTTTTTGCCGAAGGCAAGAAATGCTGTCAATCGCATTATGAACAATCAATATTCCAACTGCAAGTTTAACTTCGTTGATTAAAAATATTACTGTCGACCTGTATTTTACGAACAGACTACACGTACGACATACATTCAAAGTTAATAGCAGCCGAAGAGAGCAAATGGTGTAATACAAGAGCTGCCAAAACAAGTTCAAGAAATAAAAAGCCAATAAAATAGTAAAATAAAGACAGTAAAATTATTCAAGTGATAATCATGAATAAATTCATTTTGCTTATTGTTTGTAGAAATTTTGAAAAAGCATAATAACCTAATTAATTTTTCTTCTTTTGATAAAACTGTTTTAATTATAATGTTTGTCAAGTGGGACAAATAACCTCGTTTGTTCACACATACATATAAATATAGTCAAGGCTTGAAAGTAAATAAGTAGAGATAAACAATAAATTTGAGTATAATTCTTATTCAGTTTTTAAATATATACCGTCATAAAAAAAATTTTTTTTCACGTGCGGGAAGTTTGTTTATTATTCTTAGAAGAAAATGTTAAGAAAAACAATTATGATCAACCAAGTTTCTCACAATATTGTAAAGGGACCTACTTAATTGTTTAATATCAGTCTAAAAAGCTTTGTTTGCAAGCTTTATGTAATTGTTTTCTTGAAGTGATACAATAAAATACAAAATGTTACCTGGAATTGGAGTTTTTGGAACTGGAAGTGTAGTAAGAGTATTTATCCCTTTCTTAAGGGATAAAGGTTTCAAAATTGAAGCAATTTGGGGTCGAACAATAGCAGAAGTCTCAGAAATTGCAGCAGATCTTAAAATACCTTTTCATACAAGTCGCATAGATGATGTATTATTAAGAAGGGATGTAGACCTCATATTTATCATGTGCTGTCCTAGTTTACATGCACAGATTGCTGTCAAAGCTCTAGGAATAGGAAAACATGTTGTGTGCGATAAACCTGCTGGTTTGAGCCAGAGTGAAGCTTTGAAAATGGTTAAAGCAGCTCAGTATTATCCTTCATTGATTAGTATTGTGAACCATAGTCTGCGCTTTTTACCAGCTTTTATTAGTATGAAAAGAGAAATAGAAGATAATTATCTTGGTGGACCAATTTCTATTATTGATGTAAGAGTACAAATGGGAAGTCTGCTGCAAGAGAGTAAGCTTTTCATTTTCTGAAAATAAATTAAAGCTGTATGATTTTAAAATTTATTTAAATATTCATTTTAGAATATGATTGGCTGTGTGATGACACCATGGGTGGAGGAATTTTAGCTCTTGTAGGTAGCCATGTAATAGATTTGATATCTTATTTAACAAGTCAGAGAGCTGTAAGAGTTCATGCAGTTGTAAGGACATTCATTGAAACAACAAAACACATTAGTGGCATCAGACATATAACATCACCAGATTTTTGTTGTTTCCAAATGGAACTTAGTGGAGGAACACTTGTGACGGCAACGCTTAGCAACCATCTACAAGGTCAACTATCTCAAGAAGTTTTAATATGCGGACCTAATGGTCACTTGGTTGTCAGAAGCGGTGATTTACATGGCTGCAGAGAACAGCAAGAAGAGGCTTTGCACTTAGATGCTGAAGCTGTACAAGCATCATTGCTAGTCCCAGACTTTCTTCCAAAGCCTTATATCAGAGGTCTCCAAAAAATGATTGGTGCATTGAGAGAAGCATTCCAACCTGTAGAAGACAAACGGGGCTGGATCAAAGAACCTGTTTCAAAGGCTGCAACTTTTGAGGATGGCTTATATGTTCAAGCTGTTATTGATGCTCTGAAAAAGAGTAACAAACGCAGAGAGTGGTCTAAAGTTACTATTATGACAGAAGAACCAGATCCGAATCCTCTGCTTAGTGCAGCTGTCAGAGCAACTGCTATATCAATTTAAATAAACATCATTGCATTTTTATCATCGTCCGTAAATTATCTCGCCAATGTTGATATTTTCATAAAATTTATCATTTGGATTATTAGTGGTAATAAGATTAAGTAAAAGTGTTTCCTAAAGAAGCCTTAAAAATGTATTCAATACATAACAAACTAATTTAATAAGTATTTTGTACATGAACTAAATCATTGTTAAAATCTTTCCATCATACATAGACATTAAGATTAATTTATAGAATGTAACTGTTCACTTACATGTGCACTTTTCGTATCACTTTGATCAAATTGCTATAACTCAGCAAGTTTAAAATAGAAAGCATGCATGTATATTTATTTGAGAGTATAGTCTGTTTGAAACAGATAATGTTAAGACTTCAAATGATTTCTATGTAACTGACAAATAAATCTATTAGTGCAAAATAATGCTTTTTTAAAGTTTTTCAATTATATTTATTTAATTACTACTTTGTTGCTTGAATGGTTATTTACAATTTAAACTCATGCTTAAAAATACTTGTTTAAGTTTTCATAATAACCAGTATTTTTTTAATAAGTAACAATATTATATTAATTAATTTATATCAATAAAAAGTAAATGATATAAACGAATTTTTTAAGAAATTTCTATTATTTCCATACCACCTTTCAGGTAAACATTATCGCATATTTTCTTATTGTGGTATCCATAAAAAGCCTAATTATCCTATTGTAACTTTGCAGACAGTGACGCGCCCGATGCTAGTCATTATCACCAGAGTTTCGCAAGTGGTTGAGTTTTTATAAAAATAGAAATTTTAATGAAATCAGTTACAAAGTATTCAAGTTATTTCCACAAGAAGAATCTTTGACAAATAACGCGAATCAATAAAAAAAGATACATGTATCCTGTTTTACAAAATTATTTATTATTTTTAGGAGGTATCATCAGTTGCCACAATTTATACAAAGTAATTAAATGAATCATGCAACATAAAACGTCATTTCTTGATCATCATACTTATAAAATAATCTCTTTCTCTCTCTTATAATATATATTGACGAAACTTATACAGATTAGAATTAGAAACAATTCTACATCTACACGAGCTTAAAAGCTCTGGGAACGAGATCTCTCCCGACTTTCAATTACCGAGTGAACGATCGAAATCGAAGTGATAGATTTTATTTATTTATTTGAAGTTGTAGCGACAAACACGCGGCAATGAATCACACAATCATGTATTCTTACTTTATTAAAGTGAAAAAACATGCGAACACAGCAGGAATTATTACACTCTCGAGCGTTTCCTCGCGATGGCATCTTCGACAGCTTTAAGTTGTTTCAATAACTCTTCTCGCCTGTTGTTTGCTTTTTTCGACGCATTAGCCGACGGAGGCGATTCCGCAGCACGTTTTTTACCAGCGATTGAACTTTTCTTCGCGGCTGCAACTGCAGCTGCTGCCACGGCTGCTGCAGTGGCTGATCCTTTAATTTTTTTTATTTTGAGCTCCTTTCGAGTAGTTGGAGGTGAACCTTTACGACGGCGTACGTCCGCTGATGACGACGATGAGTAGGACGAGTCCGAAGAATCTGAACTACTGCCACTGCTATCGGAGCCGGAACTACTACCTGAGGATCTAAAGAGAAAATTTGGAGTTGTTAGTGTACTGAAAATTTTTTTAAAGGGAGAGGAAAAAGCGTCAGTAAAACTGTCATTACAGTATTTTTTATTAATATTCAAAATTCCATTTAATAGACTTAACAGTAACTCATCACCGAATTACTCGGAAAGTTATTACATTCCTTTTGATTATTTTATTATATTTGCTAAACTGTTACATATAACTGAGCATTTCGACAATACATCGTATTTATTAACGCATGTACGTATATCCTTCAAATTTATTTCAAAGCTACAAATACTATATGTAACACAAATAGTGACCGTTACAGCACATTTTCCTCTCAAAATAATTCGACAAAACACATGAACTAAATGAATGAAATAATTTTATAATACGCAATGGTGATGAAATAATAGAAAAGAAATAGTTTAAAGTATTCTTACTAAATGTTTGCAACATATATCTAAATAAGAGCAGAAAAAATAAGTTGAAGTTTTAGGCGTGGTTGCTAGTGTCAACTAGGTAGCAGGAAAGAAATAAAAAAACTTTCAAATCATATAAAATCGAAAGAGACGTTTGTAAAGACGACATTACACACTCTTAAGTCAAATCCTCCAATTAACAATTACTCTAGCTTACCGCTTATGTTTTTCTTTCCTTTAAGTTTGCATTGAAAGAAAAATTTCTTTCTTAATCAGAATTATTTGTGAAAAATTTGTTATGAGGCATGTCTCGCAACTACCGTGTAGATATGAAAGTTTTTCTATAGAAATTTAATTATGTTTTGGAGGCTGTACTATCTACCGGAATTTCAAATGGGATGGGGAATACAAAACTTATGTATAATTGAGTGAGACATTACGTGTTTGACTGCTTGTCACTTCCTGCTTCGAGTTCTGACAAGTAAGCGCCCAGCAATGTGTTCTTTTGAGATACCACCCCAATTTCCTGTAGTAACCTAAAGAGGGTAATGAAAGAGTTCTTCTTTATACAACAGTAGAGGTGCCAGTGAACATATGTTTAACCAAAAAGTCATAAAGCATGAATTTGAATGATCATTGACGCAAACATTGTATAACAATGAACGGTATTTGGGTAAAATGAAAACTTTGGAACGTAACATGCGACTGATGAAAAATAATAAGAATCTGTCTGGAATGATACATGAAATCACGCGAATGCAATAATCATCAAGTGAATCTCATCAGTGCTGTAAGCATGAAAGAACGTAGTCACGTCTGTTGTCGTCTGGTGCATTGTCATCAGTATCGAATATTTGGTTGAGATGGTAATGAATGATCGGAAATTGAAGCGGTACCTCGTGGACGATGAGTCGTAAACACTCTGTCACAACTTTATTACTTAGGAAGTAGATAGCAGTTTAACGCTAATATTATATTATATCGTAGTTCATAGTATTAATGTCAATAATAGCTATTATCCATTAACTCAGAATCTTATACGGGGATAACACTACTGACAAGGACCATTAATAAAATTAAATAAGTATCGTCATACCAGTAAATAAATAAAATTATCAAAAGTCCCATCTAAAATAATTCATAATTATTTTGTGCACAAAAATATCATGATAAATAAAAATGAATTCATGCGGCATACCACTGATGCAATGAAAATGAACATAAAACAAAACCAATTTAATGCAAATAAAAGTCAAATAACCTAATTTCACACTTGTAATAAACAAAAAAAATAGTTTCGTCATTCAGCATAGACGTGCAAAATAATTAGTATTCAATAATGAATTAACTCGAGCTATATAAAGAAAAAAAAGTTACGGTCCACACCAAGAACTATAATCCGTAGATTGAAGCTGACATATCAGTGCTCTAACAACGTTTACCAACTAACCTTGACCTCGAATGACTCTTGATGACTTTGGCAACAGCAGCAGCGGCAAGTGCGGCTTTTTTCTCCCTCTGCTTCAGATGACCGGCCAATGGACTGGGTGCTGGTGGATTTAACGCTCGCCTATGTAACACCGACGAAGGTGACGCACCATGTTTACTTCCAGACCTTGGCGTTGGCGCTGGTGGATTCATCAACATTGCCGCTCGATGTGCATGCGAAGGCGGCGAGACTGGAATTTTCTTACCGCGGGAACGACTCGGTGGCGACGGAGAACGGGACCTGGGATCGGATTCGTAAGAACTGTAGCTTGTGCGGCTAGAGCTACGGCTTGAGCTAAACAAAAAGTTGCTTTCTTAGAGGACATTGACCTCTCTCTCTATTATTTTTTCTTTTTAGATTTGGGCAGTGATGCACTTTTTTGCAGGATTAACTGATTAGTATGATATAAATGTGTGTTAGATTTTCCTTACGAGTCACTCGATACAACTTTACTTTGATCATATTGCGGTGACTATCTATCTCGATAATCACTCAATTACATTGCATGTTGTAAATTCTGCATGACTTTGCAAGTATTATTTTAATTTTTACTCGTAGAGAAAAAAACGCTACAATAGAGAATTAGTTGACATTGGAAAATTGTAACCGTCTATTTATCAAAAGTTGATTAACTCAAACCAAAAATTTCTTAAAGGTTGTTACCCAATCAGCCAGGGAACTCTAAAAAAGCAGGAGATGACCAATGGTAAATTTAGAAAGCAATATAGTTACATACCTCGATGAAGAGTACGACGATCCTGACGAATAAGATTGTTTCCTCGACCTTCTACTAGAATGTCGTCTCCTCGAAGTCGGTGATTTCCGTCTCATCCATGGGTCTGCCCATTCGTCACCTCTTCCACGTTCAATTGGTGGAACTTCTTCCTCTCGCCATGCTTTCGAACTGGGTATACGTTCAACAATCACTTCGCGTGAAGGTCGCTTGTGCTTTTTCTCATATTTGGCACTGGTAGTGCGATGATAATATTCGCGCTCATCAGGTGGATGTGGCGACGGTGATATCGAGTGTGGTGTACCTCGACTTGATACCATGCGGTAATCCATTCGCTCCCGATATTCGCCACCGCCGCCACCAGCAGGTCGAGAATCGCGATAATGTATTTTTCTACTGCTGTGGAAAAATCGTTGTTCTTAAAATTACAGTGACTTCAAATAAACATTATATTTCGTTCATAAGGTCTTTGCAAAGTGGTTCTTCACTCGATGAATTTAACTCAGCCTTCCTTCACCATACATTAAGCACACATCATTCAATCGTCCTCTACTTACAGAATCTAATCGATATCAATCTCCCGAGCACGCGATCGAAAGCAAACATTTGCATACCTATAATACTCTGGTCCAGCATGATAATAAGGCTCCTCGTCGGCATACGAATCTGGTGTAGTTCTTGGAGCGCCTCTTCTTAGAGGTGGCGCTTCTCTCGTAGGTGGCCACCTTTCTACTGGTGGCTCAGGACTCGCAGGTCTAACATAATAACCAGCCTCGCGTTCTAATTCATCTTGACCCAAACCAAGATTCATCTTCTTCTCCTCGAAATCCATATCGGATTCTTTGCGCTTGTTTGCTTTGCGCATCATCTGTGATTAAACAAAAATTAATTAGCATGGCTCGAAAGCCAGAGTTTTTCATCAAGTTGACTTAATCAAATAGGCAATAGAGAAAGAGAAAAGTGATATGTTAATATGTGTGTTTTTTTAATGCTGCCCGTCTGATTCACGAGTTGATTCTCAGTGACGTTTCACTTGTTTTGACTTTACTGAACCACTTGTACGCGATGGTAAGTACGACTACAAAATTTAGATCACACAGCTAGAATCGACTCGTAAATTGCAAAACGATTTTTCAAATCACCCCCTTTTTTATAGAGAAAACACATTTTTATTGGATGCGTCAACTATACTACTTATAAAATTAGCTATTTTGTATTCTCTGTGTTTAATTCATTAAAGCTGTTCATACACGCATGTTTTTATGCAATTTACTCGATGAAATATTACCAAATTGGAGATAAAATTTGTTATGAACATACGGTTGCAGTTTTGCAAAAAAATTATTAAACTCTTAAGGTTGATAAAAACATGCAGTCTGAAAGAGTTGCAAAGAAGGCAAACATTTGACAGACAGAATAAGTTGAAATATAGATTAAGAAGGGGAATTGTTTATTCTGATGCTGAAATATTTGTCACCAACGGCTTCTTATGAATTGGTGCAATTTTTATCTTTTTTTTTATTTTTGTTTTCTATATCAATACATGTAGTATAGTTTTCGTGCTAAATTGCTAAAAAGCATTTTTTAATAACTGAATTTCTTAACATTAACTTTGTTATCGCATTTCGTTAATAATTTTTAGTATTAATGAGATAATTCAAAAAGCGACAACAAAGAAAACAAAACAAGAACAAAAGAAAAACAGTTTTATTTACAAGGGGGTGTGAAAATATATTGCTTAACTGAGGTGAAACTTATTTCATGTATAAAGAAAAAAGTTATTTCTCTACGTTAAACAAATCATCTTACAATTAGCTTTTTTAAAATTTGCTGCCCCTTCCACTTTGCAGGTCGCCGACTATGAATCTAAAGTAAAAATTTATACAAATTCAAAAACACTAAACTTTTGTAGCGAATGTTATTCAAATATATTTTGGTTAATATGTATATCGAAGATTTATAAATAAAATATAAAGGAAAAAATTAATTGCAACTAAAATACATCAAACAAAAAAATAAACTCATCTACTAAATATTTTTGTAAAAAATGAAAATTTGATAGAAAAAAACTTTTAAAACTTCTATCTAAATAATGAAGTAAATTCCAAAAAATGATTCATTTTCTTACTGTTTCTTAAATTTAAATCACAAAATATCTTAAAAAATTAGTTTGAACTATATACATTTATAAATTTTATTTGCATTTAACAAGCAAGTGACATAATAAAATTAATTAATTCGTTAATATGTACAAGTTTAACCAAATGGAATCCGTGTAACTGTACTTTTTTGTTATTTCAGTATAAAATTAAGTAACGTAAAAATAAGTGTTTCAGGCTTAAAGTAATAATAAGAAACAAAAATTGCAAATTAAGAAAAAAAATTATAAAAAGAAAGTTATCGCAAATACACAGAACAGACACAATCTAAAATATAATTTTTACCAAACTACTAGAATGAAATACCATCACCTTCAGCGTTCGCCATCTGCACAAGGGGAACAAGATTCATAGTCGGCGACACATAGTAAACAAAATTTGAAAAGAAAAGATAAAAGAAAAAAAAAACAGCCTTGTTAGACGAATCTGATAACTTTCTTTTTGTTTTGCTTGTTATGACAAAAAAAAAAGAAAACTGTAAAGCCAACAATTAAAAGAAAAGTAGAAAAAATATTGGGGCAGCAATTCGGTCTTAAGATGACTGTTCAGTAATTGAGAAAAAGCTACACCAGCTTGTAAGTTATTACAAGCGCCGTAACAGCATGAACACAAGTTGCGAAAAAATCATGTGTTAGACGTGTTATTAGAAAAAAGTACAGTTAAAAAAGGAAGATAACAAAACAATAAACTAAAAATATCAAGTAAACGTTCTTGTTACGTCAACTTAAGCTTTTATACTTTTATTTTATCGACAAAAACGTTTACATCGTGCATATTAAGACCGAATAAACCAAATCAAACTATCAAGTCTTAACTTACCTCCTTGGCATGCCGCAATCCACGTTCCCAGGCACTCTCCGAGGAAGGATCATCACTAACTGTTTTAGCAGCAGGATGGTGTGGCGGTGGGCCATAACCCGGAGGTGGCGGTCGTGCCATAGGTGGTCGCTCGATATGCGGATGAAATTCACGAGGTGGATGTGGTGGTGGATAAGCCATTGGGCGAACCATATCAAACATCGTGTAATTGCCTTTGTCGGTGACGCCTGGATGCAGAAAGCGGCAACTCACGCCCCAAGTGCACTGACCTCGATTGTAGAAACGACATACCGGCCGCGGTTCAGTCTCCTCTGGACGCGCTTCGTCTCCGTCGCTCAGTTCACCTTCCTCAAGCTCCGATTCCGCCTTTTCACCATCTTCTTTGGCATCGTCCTTATCGCGTATCTCGCCTGCCTCCCGAGATTCTTTATGTTTTTTCTGCAAAGAATGCGTGTTACTTTTTCAGATCATTCATTGTTGCATGCCGACCTGAATCAAAAATTGAAACGGTAAGTTTATACCTTATGCCAATAGTATATATTTTTTCTCCATTCAATCAAAATTGATTGGATCGTTAGCTCATAATGCGAGTCACTGTTCGTGTTTACATAAAATAAACTAGACAATCAATGAAAAAGTCTCACCTTGTTTTTCTTCTCGTCTTTATCTTTCTTTTTACTCTTCTTGTCCTTGACTTTCTCCTGGATTTCGCCGCTCTCCTTGCCCTTAGGCGACTCACTCATTTCCTTGTCAACTTTCTTCGTATCGCCATCACCATCTTCTTTAACATCCTTCCACTGACCATCTGCCTCGAAATCCAACTGCTCAGTCTCTTCTGTCAGATGAGCTGATGCTGCCGAGGCTTCGTCTTTCGGAGACGGTGACGCCTCCTGATTACTTGGACCGTTCGTTGAGGTTTTGGGTTTTCGATTGCGATGATGTTCCTCGTCGCCACTTTCAAGATCAGACACGTCCGATAAATCCTCGTGTTTTTCTTCCTCGGAATCACTCGCATGATTTGCTGATGGCGATGGTGAATGTGGTGGTTTACGATTCACTGGTGGTGAATTGCTGCGTGGCGAACTGGGAGGAGAGCTGAGAAGAGAACAACATTGAAATTCGATACATTTAAAAAACGTCGTACAATAAGAAAGAAAAGAGATAATTCAAATATCTCGTTCACGACGTCAGATTCGCGACAATAAGACTAGCTCTACTGGAGAAAACCGTATACATAAAGAGTTAACTCAATATGCACATATTCATGAGAACCAACGAGACAACAATGTGATGAGAGCATTTCCTTGTACATATACTTACTTCGTACGGATATACGAACGTGTGATGAGAAGTTCATTTACATTTGTATACTTGTTATCATCACAAACGCTCCCTATTATAGTAAATATAATTTGAGAAAATCGAGTCTCACCCAGTAGGCGACCTTGGCGGAGTGCTATGTCGACTACCACTAGGTCTGGACGCAGGTGTTGTCGGTCCGGAGACATATGACTTCGGCGACGCGGGTTCATCCGCGTGTGGACAAGCAGGCGATGGCGATGCGGGCGTTGACCTCCTATTCCCAGCATCCGAGTCGCAGTATGAACCATCTCTCTCGGGCGACTCTGTATAATTCCTCGGTGAATGTTGACACGTGTGCTCCTCCTCATCACTTTCAGGATTCGGGGATGCAGGTCCACTGTCGGGATTCGGCGATGCCGGTCCACTTTCTAGGTTCGGCGAGGTTGGTCCGTTCAGCGACGGCGAGTCCGGATACGCATTGTCGGAAGAAGGAGATGCTGGTCCTTCGTCATCTGGTGGTGTGACTGGCCGGCGATTGGCAAACCGTGCTGGCGATGACGAGCGTGAACGCGATGAATAACTCTTTGCTGCCGATCCGTCACTCTCTGAATCTGACATTGCCTTTTCTCGGTGTTAGCTTTTTTAATGAGCGTACTGGGCAGAAACTCACTGGCGAATACTCAGTTGTTCAGCCTGTAATTATACGAAATGCGATTAGACTTCGTAAGCGCGGTGGTCGAGTGATCGACACCCTTTTTTTCACTTTCGATGTTTTTGTGAATGACGAGAGATTAGGAAGCTCAAAACATTAGGTTTATTCTTTCTTTGAAGGTGATTTAGACAGATTATATCTGAAGCTCTTGTTTTTCTTTTTTGTGCTTGTCTGATGATGATTATTGTTGACCGTTTTGAGGGAAATGCTATAGACTGAACTAATGTCATCCAAATATTTAAATCTATGAACGTCAATGACAAGTTAAGTATACAAAATCGGTCAAGCTTGAACAGCCGATTACTACTTAAACAATTTTGACAAGATTGTTGAAATATTGATGTAGCATGAGACAGGTAATTAAACATTTTCGCCGAATCGATCATCAATGATCATCAGCACACGCATCAAAATCTTTTTGGTATTATGAAGTTTTGCTTTTGTTCGAGTTGCGAATAGAATCAATATTATGAGCTGAAAATGCTGAACCTGACGACAACGTCGAGAAACCCAAAATCGCAATTTAACAAAACTCTTGCGACTGTCGAATCTCCCGAAATGTAGGCTCGCGAATGAAAGAACATAGGAATTGGAAACAAATCAACAGAAACAAAAAGAAAATAAGTACAAAATTGATTGGTTTGATACACATACTCACGGATATACTAAGTTTGAGAGAAAGGTGGAAAAAATGCGACTCCCTTATCTGGAGTGCGGTGTTGGTAAAAAAAAACTAGAGCCGCATTTTTTGTCGTTATAATGTTTGTTCACACAGCCAGTACGGCTGGGCTTACCTGGGTCGATAATTGTGATCGCTCTTGATGTATCATTGGGCCAAACGAAAAAAGCCCGTGAAACGTCTGTCGTCCGTAAACTCAACTCAAACTTAAACTCGCGTACTACTACGACTTTTCTCGTTATTTTTCGACATTCGATGCTCGCCATTTCGATCGTGGCGCGCAGATGTATAGATAAACTTAACTTTTACTCTTTTTGGTCGGAACTCACGCAACTATTGGATACTGACACGTACACGAACTCAGCACCGAGACAAAACTTAACTTTAGTTTCGGGTCTGTTTTTGCTTGATTTTATTATAATTTTTTTTGTCAACTCATGTAGTATATAGATAAACTTTTTTGATCACTATAACAGCTTGTGTGTGTGATATACTTTACTTTTTTGCTCTTTATATAACTTATTGGCTTTTTAGAGCGAGCTTAACTTTTCAATACCTGAAAGAAGGATATTTGGGCGTGCAAAATAATAGACTGTATTAAAGTAGAAGCAAAAAAAAACAAATTCTTTCTGTTCTTTGGGTATATTTATGTATGTGTGTGTGCTTTTGTGTGTGTGTGTGTGTGTGTGTGTGTGTGTGTGTGTGTGTGTGTGTGTGTGCGCGCATGTGTAAAAGCTCAATTTTAAAGCTTGAAAAGCAAAAGAGGTTTTTGGTTTGCTGCAAGCATACAACAAATGCATTATAACAGTTTCAGTTGCAGTGGCCAGCCAACTGTATACAAAATTATTATTTGCACTATTTCAACATGACAACTGAAATTCATTAAGCACAAGTGTGATCAAATTTTAATGGATATAAATCAATTATTAATTAATTTTATTCAACATTTCATATTCTAATCAAGAAAAATGAACCTTTTTTTTTACTAAAATAGTAAGTGTTTTAACATAGACATTTCAATACTCTTAATGCTCATGAATTTTTGTACACATGAATTAAAAATACAACTTTTCATTAATTAAAGAGCGTAATGTACTATTAGATATTATCAATTTTTTTCAAACTTTATAAAAATTCATCTGTTATTCGTTTAAAAGTAGGGATATTTCATATTTTACTAATTATCATTGACTCTTTCCCATACCTTGTGGAACTTACTATGAAACACATCTATATAACCACCATGCATTACTAATTCAATGCAAATTTAATCTCAAAAAAATTATTTTGTATGATTAAATTTCCACAAAAATAAAACAAACGAAGCTTCAATAAATAAACTAATGAGCTTCAAAACCATCGCATCGAGCAGTCACGAATCCTTTACCAGGAAATGCAGTCAACGTTAAAAAAAGTGCATTCTGAACAACGAGACCACGATTACGTCAGAAAATCGGCGACGACCACTGCACCTGTGACACGAAACTATAACCGGGGTATCCGTGAACATTAACACCTACGGAGACACCGAACAGCATCATGTCTTATCCAAATGGCTCGCACTTTACCACGTCCATGTTTTGTTGTTAGCTTGCTTTTGGGAGAGGAATAGGAGAGAGGGAGAGGGGGGGGGGAGAGAAAATGTGTGTGTAAAGGAGGTTACCAAGAGACAGAAAAGAAAGATAGAGATACGTTGTGCCCCAAAATATCGTAAATACCTTACCTAATGAAAAGTGCAGTCAGCCTCCGGAACGTCCGGAGGTCGTTTCCTCGTTGTATCGTTTTACCTTCGATAACAAGTTGTAAAAGATCTGAACACTGAGTTTTACTGTAACACACCGCACTCCACCGTAGTCCCGGGTCCGGTTCGTGTTTAGTAATTTCCAGGCGCGTCGAGCGCTGCCAGATCGATGGCTTCCTCGGGCCTTCCGGTCATCGTTTTCTCGTCGATTATAGGCCTGTCCTCAATGCTGCCAACCTAGTTAATCCACGAATTCAATGTTGGCTACATTGGCTTTTGTTTGTGAGCGAGGTCGTTTCGAATGATATCGATTTTGCCTTCTGCTTTAATGATAATCGATCAATTTAATTGAAAGCTACTATATGTTCGCATTTACGATTAGCAGACGCTCATCAATTTCTTTTTCGTGGTTACCTTTAGGATGTGTCGATCGAGTTACGTAATTACCAGAGTAATACGATATTCATCTTTTAATGAATAATACAATTCTCAACACTAATAATTGAAGTAATAGGAAATTTGTATAATAATCAGTCAATTTTTCCTATGAAAATATTGAAATCAAAACAACAATAACTATAGAAATACAAAATATTACAGAAGCGTTAATATCTTTGTATAATTGTAACATTTAACATTACATGTTTTTGCATAATCAAATGAATTTTTAACCACTGTCGTAGAAAATCGTATAAATAATAACCTGATATTAATACAATCTAGACTTTGGAATTTCCCCTATATTGCTTTTTATGAATAAGCATGCCTGTTTTGTTGAACAGGCGCTAAGCGCTATTGATGGCTCTGAGGCCCTCGCCACATAATCGCATACGCGCGCGTACGAGGGCGTACAAACGCGTACAAATCGCTAAAAATTTTGATAGTGCCAACAACAGAAAGTTACTACTATTCCTCGCATGCCCCAAACGAACACTTACTCCCGGAACAAACGTATCATAACCTTCAATAATATAGCGTTATGATACGTTTGTTCCGGGAGTAAGTGTGTTCGTTTGGGGCATGCGAGGAATAGTAGTAACTTTCTGTTGTTGGCACTATCAAAATTTTTAGCGATTTGTACGCGTTTGTATGCCCTCGTACGCGCGTATATGCGCATATGTGGTGAGGGCCTCACCTGGCTACATAAACGTGTATGCGAGCGTAGCAAGTGTATAAGCATACATCGCGTGCAGAAGTTACTAGAAGGTGTAGTGTAGCCAACTGTCAAAATTTGGATGAACAAAAGTAATTAAGTAACTAGAGCAAATGATTACACCATAACATAATTATAGCCTGAACTTGTATGTGATATTATTTATGGTTTCGAGTATTTTCTTCTTTTAATAGTGACTACCTCCGTATAAGTAATGATATAGTTCAGGCTGGATCTACCATATCGTGCAAAACATCATGTTAACATATGGTGACGGTCACATAACCTTCTTTCAATTTTTCATGCAAGTGGTGCCTTAAAGAATGAGAACAGAATTTTTTTATAAAAGAAAATATTATTAGTACTTGAAAAATAAATAATTGTAAACAAACCTGCGTCCTCCGTACAGTAAATATTTTAAGGCAACAGTTCAGGTTAAAAAAAAATTCTTTTCTCATTCTTTAAGGCAACACTTGCATGAAAAATTGAATGAAGGTTGCGTGACCGTCACCACATGTTAACATGATGTTTTGCACGATGTTGTAGATCCAGGGTCAATGTTCAATGTTTATCTAAATTTTACGATTGCCTGCACTGCATTTCCTAGTAACTTTTCCGCACACGACGCATGCATAAACACTTATGTACGCTTGCTTATGCGCTTATGTAGTCAGAGCGATGTGACACTTTGGCGGTGGCTGTTGATGTTACCAGTTACTCAGTAGTAGTTTTCGTGGAGCTTTGATTGTCGTCGGCGTATGTGTGGACTAATTTTTTTGTAATTTTAACCAAAATAAACACGTTGTTTAATCACATTTGTATATATAAATTATGGTGAGTGAAAAAATGGTGATCGACATCGACAATCTCAGCGAAGAAGGCGAGTTAAAGAGAAGTCCAGATAAGCAGAAGTGAGTATTGAATGCTTTTTCGAGGTTATCATTACTAAATACTTCATTGAAAACTAGCCATTTGTCGTCTGTAACTGAATTATTGATTGCGATTTCAATTCTATTGCGGAATCATTGTAGTTTCGAATAGCAAATGACTATTATTTACTTGTCGAGTGGATACGTGTTAGGACGCAACATATAGTAACGTATTGTAATCGTTTCACCACTGTTTTTCCAATTAAATGTGTTATAACCCCGAATAAAGTGCAATGACAGACCTCAAATTAAAAAACTTCAACGTTCTAACTGCGTTGAATAGTTTTTCAGATGACGATGCTGACACACAGGATTCGTTGGAGATCAAACCACCACAGGCAGTGATTCATCATAAGAAGAGCAACTCCCATCGAAGGGACAAACATTCTGAGAGAACTGGTGAGCGTAGAGATAAAGAGTATAAATCTTCTAGGCATCATGATGATAGGCATCATAGAGAGAAGCACAGAGAAAGTAGGTATCGGCGTCATGAGCCCGATCAGTACGAAAAAACAAGGCGTTCTGAACCTACAAAAAGAGATAGAGATTCTTCTAGGTATGAAAGGAAGGAGCGCAGTACAGGTGATCGGGTGTTTGAGGAGGATTTGAGAGAGAGGTAAATCACATTTTATACCTATAATCATTGTACTAACAAAATTTAAGAAATAACAAGTCTCTAAGCATTAGTCCTTCATAGTAGACATCCATTAACATTTTTTGTTTTATTTATTTAATTGATGATAAGTAACAACTGTCCCTCTGTGTTGTATTGTTGAATACAACAATAAATATTAATTTTTGTAAACTAGCACAAGTAAAATTCAACTTATCCCTTGATCTTTGATGAAATATTGCATTTCTGACAGACTACTGGACAAACGAAGAGAAAGACGAGATGATTCTCGGGACTATAAATTGGAGCCTTCGCGCAGTGTCGAATCTCGCAGGGAAGAATTATCGTCTCATCGAAGGGTCGTCATTACTACTGAGGATCCTAGGGAACAACAGCAATTGCAACAACGAGGGAGCAATGGGAGACACTCGATGCGACACAGTGATCCAAACAGAGAAAAGAGACACAAAAGGTCTCACAAACATGAGAGAATTAGAAACCGTCAAAAGGAAATGACCGAAAGACAAATTGGTACAAAAATATTCTTTTTAAAGTGGATGTTTTAACATCCGTAAACACATGTTTTAAATTATTTTTATTTTTTTAGTGCATAGAGGAAAGCACTTGAGAGAGCAGCAAGAAGAAGACGAACAGCCAATGGAAGTAGACGACTACGATGATGCACCACAAATCGAACCCGAGCATCATCATTACCATCAGCAACCGTTACCACCGCCGAAAGATCCCAAAGATATGACCGAACAAGAACTTCGTCGTCAACGTCTTATTGACGCAGAACGAGAAATGGCCTTGATGAAGAAGAACTCACATATGGCACTGGAAGCACGTCGACAAAAACGTGGAGGTGAAAAACGATCACACAGTCCTGAAGACGAAACGCTTGATCCATCAATAGTCCATTTATCCGAGGATGAAAGTGAGGAAAAATCTGATCACTCCAGTAGTGTTAGAGTGTCGAGTGGTGATCGTTCTGAAGATTCTTCAGAGGATTCCAGCAGTTCATCTGAAAGTGAAGAGTCTACCGAGTCACCTAGTACAAGAAGTCGATCGGAATCTGAGCATCTACGAAGTCCAGCGGAAAAGTCAGATGTTCCACCGTCGCCAGAGCCTATTCCTGAAGAAAACATATCGAATGGTATAGTTAAAGAGGAAAAGAAAGAAGAAGTTGAGCCTGAAGTTGAACTGCCGCCATATTTTCCAGCTATTCAGGGTAAGTATTTTATTTTATCAAGCAATTAAATCATATATAATACCTGACTTAAAAAGGAAGATATTAAATAATTTATTTTGTTGGCACAGGTTGCCGAAATGTTGAAGAATACAAATGTCTAAACCGAATAGCCGAAGGTACTTATGGTGTTGTATATAGAGCCGAGGACAAAAGAACGAAAGAAATAGTGGCCTTAAAAAGATTGAAGATGGAAAAGGAAAAAGAAGGTTTTCCAATTACCAGTCTACGTGAGATCAATACACTTCTCAAAGCTCAGCATCCTAACATTGTTACCGTACGCGAAATAGTCGTGGGTAGTAACATGGACAAAATATTCATAGTAATGGACTTCATCGAACATGATCTAAAGTCATTGATGGAGACGATGAAATCGAAGAATCAAGTGTTCATTCCAGGTGAAGTAAAATGTTTGATGCAGCAACTGTTGAAAGCCGTTGCTCATTTACACGACAACTGGATCCTACACCGAGATTTAAAGACGTCTAATTTACTACTAAGCCATAAGGGAATTTTAAAAGTTGGTGACTTTGGGTTAGCAAGAGAATATGGGTCACCTCTTAAACGATACACATCTATTGTTGTGACACTCTGGTATCGAGCACCGGAATTGTTACTTGGTAGCAAAGAATACAGTACACCAGTTGATATGTGGTCTGTCGGGTAGGTAAAACTTTAAAATGCTTCTGTATTAAAGAAACAAACTTTTTTGTATAAATTTATGTCAATATTTACAGATGTATCTTCGCTGAATTGCTGAGAATGGAAGCAATTTTTCCAGGAAAATCAGAGACAGATCTTTTAAATAGAGTATTTAAAGAACTTGGCACTCCAAATGATAAAGTTTGGCCAGGATATAGTGAATTGCCTTTGTCGAAGAAAATGGTTTTCGCTCATTATCCTGTCAACAATTTGAGACAACGATTTGGTATGACCCTGACGGAGTTAGGGTATAGTCTGTTAAATAAGTAAGCTTTCGACTGTCCTTATACATTCTTTTCAATAATTCCATTGAAATCGATAATTAACGTTATCTTTTTATTTATTCATAGACTTTTGACCTACGATCCAAAGCAACGAATCACAGCGGAAGATGCAACAAAGCACGAGTACTTCTCGGAATCGCCATTGCCAATCGATCCATCGATGTTTCCAACGTGGCCGGCAAAATCAGAGTTCGGTCTGCGTACAACAAACGCATCGCCAAAGCCACCCAGTGGCGGCAAAGAATTTAAACAACTTGGAGATGATGAAGATAATGCTATTGGTTTTCATATGGGTTCAAGAGAAGCTAGCAGACAGCTACCAGTTGGTGGTGGCTTTCACCTTAAATTTTGACCGATTTCGTCCGCACATCGTTTGTGTAACAAGGACACGAGCGCATAGGCATAAATACACTGACTTTAAGACTGTACAAATTTATATTATATAGATGAATGAATATAAGTTTATTATTGCATACAAATTCAAAGACTATCTTTTATTATCTCAGATTTTCAATAATTTCACAAAAATATCAATAAAGTCATCAAGAATACTTTCTTTCAATAACTATTGAAAAATACGAAAAACAAAAATATTTTTTCTTTTTAGCATTAAAAATGATAGCATCAATTTGACTAAAGGTCACTTATCAATTTAAAAAAAGGACTAAATAGATCAAACTAATCTTGATGTCTGAACAGTTCTTCCCATACGTAATTATTCAATGTTAGTAATTTGACAGAATGTTTAAGTTTAGGTTGGTTTAAATGAATTGGTACTTATCTGCATTATTGTAATATTTATCTTAGAAAGGATTGCAAAAAATAATTACAAAACTGCAATCAAATAGCCACTTTATATTTCCATTAATAATTACACATAACAGACTTGACGAAACAAAAAAAATAAAAACAGCAACCATGAATATTGTAGTCACTAGTATTTTGACCGGTTATGTACAATAATAAATCAACTTAATTTGTATACAAATTACAAATAATATATATTTACACAAAGAGGCATAGCTGAAAGCTTGTGAATATAAATTAAAATGTTTATTTTATCTTTTAGTTTGAGCAAAATTCATTTAATAATGTATATATATATATGTATATATATATATATTTATAATTGATATAAATATATATAATTTTATTTTTTATATATAGTATTTATAAATAATATGCATAATTGACTAACTTCCCCTTAAAAATGGGATACGATTATAAACTTTCTTGTGTAAAAGACCTCTCCGTTTTTTCCGACTAATAACAAATTGTTCGATAGATAGTCGTCGCTGATAATTTGTCGACAACTTTGTGTTTTTTTACACTATAATGTATACATACTATTGCAAAAGCATTCAAAATTGTTGATTGTGGAGGAATCTTGACGGCGATTCCCTTCGTTTAATAGAAAAAAATACGGCTAGATACTAACGAGAATACGTATTCTTTTTTTCTTACTTTCATGCTTCTTGGCTAATGTCAAAAAATGTTTAAGATAGAGCCGAGAGTCGAAGCTTTCGCGCGTGTGAATCTTATGTCTGTGTATATGTGTTGGTATAAAAAATTTGCACACTAAGTGCTATAAATTGGTAAATGCGGAATGTGCACTTTGCTGGAATGTGTAAAGAGGGAATACTGATGGCCGCATGGTCAGCAGAAGTATCATCACACTCGTTTTCTTTGCTATTTTTCGTTAGATGACCGACTTCTTTTATTACGGTAATTGTTCCACGTAATTCTTCGGTATCAGCCCCGTTTTACCATTTAAAGTACCTACTAACCACCCTGGTTCACTCGATGGTTGAACTATAGCATAAATTAAAATTAATCATTTTAATTTTTCCATTCCTCATTTATTAAGCATAAATTATAGTTATATAAATTACCATTAGTTATGATCTGATTAGGTTCAAATGACAGTTCACCAACACTTTCGGCCATACAAGCGTACAGTGTCCTTACTCTCCTGAAAATTTATATGAAGTCATAAATTAAGTCGAAAGCATCTTCAATCAAAAGTTACAGTAAGAAACTTACCAAATCCCTGAACCAGGGCTGGATCTACCACTACTTGGTGAAGTATTAACTCTAAAAAATAAAAAACAATATTCATTTAATAAAATCTTTATCATCAAATAACTTGAGTACTTTGTAAATTTGTAAATTGTTTAGGAATCCCAATCAAACTAACGCGATAAAAAATGTAACTTATTAATCAAGACGTTAAATGCAAAAAATAAAGCGCGATAAAAGAAATAACACCTGGAGAATAATTGCAACAAAGTTTACTTACTTATCTACAGCAAATAACTAGGAAATCAATGTATAAAAACTAACTATATACTTACAAAGACATTATTGGATTATTTCTAGGTGGGTAATTAAAATGTGCGTTGACCAGCATTGAGTCCCGTTTTTGCTTAACGGGCACAACTCCAGTGCTAAGATATGGTGGCGGATCACTTGCTATCGATTCGCTTGAACTACTCGTGTTTCCACTTCCTGAAACTGCAATTACAAAGATGAATGGATTATATATGCTCGATTTCTTTGAAAGATGATTATGATAATGTATATTACCTCTTTCAGTCGAATGATACATGAAGTTGGCATTGCGATTTTTCAATCGGGCAATATGACTGTCAGCGTAGTTAGGCAATCGATGACTAGGGTGCTCGATCTCCTGGTAATCCTCACCATTTTTCTGATCTGCGTCTATCAACGGCGTCTTCGAACTTACTGATAATGGGCTATCATAATAGGATCGCGAAATTTCCTAGGTTAAATCAATTACAATTAGTGATATGCAATAACTATTTTTATCAATTCTATAATTCTATTTTCATGAACATTTATCACTTGAAAACTAAAAACTTCAAATTAATTTACACAAAATAAAGTTCTAATTTATGTATGTTCGAATCGACGTCATATCAAGTTGCAAACATACTAAAGTAGCTATGAAGGCTGTATTGATAATACGTAACATTGGACAATTATCATTCTAGATTTTATTTTCTGTTCTTGCGACGTAAAAAAAGATTCAACAAGCGCTACGAGCTAAAACTTCAAGAAAATGCCAAACGCCATGAATTATCGTCTTGATATCTCTCGTGTAAAATAACAAATATATTGCATAAGTCAAGCACGTCGCGAAACCACTAGCAATAATTCTTCAAAACAACATCGACTTATATACGAAGTAAAATGACATTCGGAGCACATTTAATAAACAAAAATACTAACTTTTACCTGCACCGTAGCTGGTACAACGGTGTGCACCGAATAGCATGGTAAATGTAGCGCCCCATTGCTTGGCTGTGGTTGAGGCTGCTGCACCGGTGACGTTTGTTGCTGTGGTTGTTGTAGAACAGGTGAAGTTTGCTCATCTTTATCTGGCGAAGTACTACTACTCAAAGCAAGACCCGAACCCATAGGCGAGGTTGGCAAATCAACTGGCGGACCCGCGGTTATACGTTCACAATTCTCGATTAATATCTCTACGACTATATTGTAAAATTTGATGTCCATTATCGAGGCCACCGTTTCTTCTTCCGGCCGTAGTAACGTGGGTCCGAAGCATACCGCCAGGTTACCCACTGTCATTAAGTTCTTATCACATTTTAGCGCCACTCTATAAAAAAAGAAAAGCTTGTGAATTCATTCATTTCAACGTGGCGTTAAAAATGTTCTCGTAGAGATGCATCGTTTATCGAATGTTTGATATGCGATAAAAAATGCTTACGTTGAGCAGTGTACAAGGCGATTAAAGAAAAAAAAGATAATCAAATAAAACAGATACTGTAAGCACTAACGTTGTTTTGATATCAAAAAGCTTATCACGACGCCACGCCAAGTTTAATAAACGTTTGACTCTAAATTTTTAACGAATCATGATGTGAATCATACAATGTTCATAACACAATCAATGGAATAATTACTTGCGAAGATGATTAATGAGTAGTAGAAGAACATTGTGGTTTGGTTTAGGTAGGCGATACACTAATGTGTGTATGTCTTTGACCCTTAGTTCCTTTAGTTCTTGTTCTGTAAATTAAATTTAAAAATCAGAATGTCACACTCTTGCTTTCGTTCTTTTTTTTTTGTTTTTTTGTTTACCACTGTAAGTGAAAAAAAACTCACTTGCTGCAGAAATAAAACTATCGTAGTACCGAAATGTCATGAGAGGCTCGGAAAGAGTCCTTAAATAAGTTTTTAGAGCACTAGTGATTGTTTTACTCTCCCACTCGTATCGATTTTCCAGCGCAAGCTTCTCCAATTTCCTGCGGTCGAGGCCCATCGCGAGTAATTTGTTCACTTTAGAAGCTACGCCGACCACTCGATAAAGTCCCTGCTCCTCTAAACCTCTATCCTCTAATACTTTGATGCATTTGGATATGAATAATAGACCAGTCGAGTCTATAACATTCTCGTCGGGTTGCTTCACCAGTGGACCTTGTTGCAAAGCAAGAACCTACAAATCATACATCGCGCTGTAAATATAACTATCGATGCCAATTGACGATAATCAACGATCTCGTGGACGTCATTATTTATGATTGCCATAAGCTTTGACTTACAGGTTCTCGACCGTCCATCGCGTCCATCCACGCTTTCCTATCGTTTTCGGATAATGCTTGAAATGTATATACTATACCAGGCCTAAAAAATGAGGAGCCATCGTTAGTCATCTATTTCGTAAATAAATTTAGATGAGCTTGTTAAATACGTAGTTGATATTGAGGAAATTTAATGATACATAAGAAGAAGACTGACCTTCCGATAGCGGTAATATCAAAACAAAATCGTTTTTCTATTGATTCGGACATACGCCGTACGCAAGAGGCCAGAGTAAAAGTGTCTTTACTGCTCTGTTAAAAACAATGAATGATAAGATATATTGTTAAGTCACTAGATGATTCTTTTCTTTGCGTGCCAAAAATGACATTCGCGCGGTGCACATCGAGAAACAAAACTTACAAATTTGCCTGTGAGCTGATTATACGGTATCATTGTGAATTCCTTTTTGTCTTTTTGATATGTGCAATATTGTTTCGTCCATGTAGTTCCAAAAGCCTCTGAAAAAATAGTTCGCTAATACCTTTCCGCTCGTTTTTTTTATAGGACTGAAACTACTTTTTGAAATAATCGCGAATGTATTTTTTGACGATAAAAAATATTGATACTTTGATCACGAAATAGAGTTTTGTGAACTATATGTCGGAAGTTGGTAAAAAAGTGAGAGTAAGATACAGTTAACACAGAAACGATACAACATTTAAAAAAAAATGAAAATTCAAGTGCGAGTAATTCGTGTCACTTACTCTTTTCCATCAGGAACAAATACCCTTCTCTACTGTAAAGTTTATTAGGGCCACTTTCTATTGCCGACTAAAAAATAGAAAAATAATTTACACAATTAAATATTTATTTATTTCATTCATAAATCGATAAAAACATAAATTTATGTAGATAAATTTTTATGTAGATAAAAACATAAATATACTCGTATTAATCGATTGTACTTTAGTAATATGACAAAAGTTATTAATAATAAAGCAATGAAAATGCTAAAACACAAAGCACATACCTTCTTCATGTCCTTCATTTTATTCATAAGCGATTCTGTCTTATCCCGCGTGGCATCGAAATTCTCTCGAGTCTTTTAAGAAAAAAACACACACACGCAAAATTAGATTATTAGTTGTCAGTAAGAGCAGCCAGTTAATTCAATAGCTATAATAATGACCAAGTTTTTTTGATTGATTATAGCAAAGATATTAATTTTACACACTTGACTCGATAAAACACCAAATTGTAAAATTAATTAAGCTAGATTAATTTTTGAAGGTCAAAGGCCGTCACCATATAAGAATCCCTCTTGAAAATACAAAAAGACATTTATTTTTGTCTTCGGGAGGCGATTTATCTTTAGCTGAAAAGGTTGTAAATAAAAGAACGCTTAATAAATTTACCTTTTGAATTTTGAGCTGTAGTTCAGTCATATATGGTTTAAAATCTTTGGCGACCTCGTGTCCTTGATGATAAAAAGTAAGCCAACCAAACATAAAACTTAGTAACTGAAAAATAACGAATAAGTTTGTTATGAAATCATCTATTCAACAAAAGAATAAGATAGAAAGTTAAATTTACCGTTTCTACAAATTCAAACTTCTTACGTTCTTGAACTTCTTGTAATAAAAAGACGTATTCTAAACTTGCTTGACAGAAATGCCTTTCGGCCATTTCCAATGTCGCATCCGCCTGTCATAACCAAATCGTTAAACATTATAATATGGGAAATTAGCAATAAAGTCATTCATAAACTTTTTCAACAATACGTACTTCTTGAAGAACATTGTCTTGCTTTTTAGTAGAAAGATTGAGATAACGTTCTTGACTTTGGCAAAACTTTACTGTCTGCTTTTCGAACTTTTTCTTGCCCTCCTAAAGTTATAAATAATGTCAGTACTTCCGAAATCGAATTTGTAAAACAAGGAATAAATGACTGAAACTTTACCTTAACTCCACCTATATGTGTTTTTCTAAATTTTTCTAGGGGCAGTATGATTTGATCGTATGCTCTTGCCAGCTAAAAACATTAGAAATCTCTAATAAATTTATTCCTGATTGTTACAAGCTTTTGTCTTTGTACTTTATTAACAATTTAACTTTCAATAATGACTTGAAAATTGTGTAAACATTAACATTATTGATAGTGTCCATGTGTATTATAGATAAAATAGAGAACAATTTTCACTAATAAAAGCAGTATCAAACTATTAATATTAACTACAAGTCATTCCATAAAAATATTTCAAAGATGAAAAGGTACAATAATGATACAAAATTTTACTAGGAAGTTAAAGTATCAATTCTTTATGATGAAGAACAATTGCTTTATTTACAGTTTATTCCAGTTAGTATTTGTATAATAAAGAAATTCTAACATTTAAGAAAATCGTTTATTCGAAAATAGGTTTCAAAAATATATTTTCATGTGTGTCTGAAGAATTAAAAATTGTTTAACTGCTTTAAAAAAATACTATACAAATATGATATATCTGCACTTTACCTTTTCAATAGTATAATTATAATGATTCCTTTGTACCAAATACAAAAAAAAATATCAGCTGTATAGTATTTTTGATATAATGTAAATTGTTGAATGTATAAAAAAGCTTGTAGTCACAGAAAATTGAAGTAGAAAGATAGTATCACTCAAAGAAGTTAGATTAGTATTAAAATGCCAGTATGTGAAGAAAAAAGTGTAAAGTGTACTGTGAAAGAGAAAAAGTAGAAACACACTATTAAAAAAGTTGTACGCTTTACCATTGACTAACACAGTTAGCCTTTTGTGAAATTTAATTTGATATGCATTTGAGTGTTGTTTGAATCAGTTTTTTCTCCCATTAATATGTTGAATGGAATATTTTTTGGACACAAAATATTAAAGCATTGCTAATGTGCTAATTATGTGCATACCATGCGATCACGCTCGTCTTCGATCAATGCTATGAGTTTACCAAATTCCTTCAGACTTTGAGATATGTGTAATTCATCTTCAGTTTGTGTTTCACCAATACATTCGAAGCTGAAGTTCTGTAATGTCTTTGAAAATGCCCTCTGAGCTCGAGAGAGATCTGGAAAACAATGCATTTCAAAATGAATCATGAGCTTTTGGCATTTTTGAAGCATTTTCATGATTGCTTTTGATTTCAAAACTATTTATGAAATATATAATATTCATTGTAAAATATATTGTAACAAACACAGAATAATTTTTTGAATCAATTTAGTTGACTTAATAGAAAATTCTTCTTTTATAAACATATTAATGTTATTCATCATAACATTCAAAATATTCATGATATATGGATGTATCTTGTATGGCAAAGGTTTATATAATCATCTAGTCATATACATACTACAAGGACTACTTTAATTTATGCAATTACTGATAATACCACCTACTAGTTCATTGCAATAAGCAATTTTATGTAGAAATAGAATTATATACAAATGATGTCATGGATGAAAGAGACTTCATATGATAAATATTATTCTTCCAAGAACAAATTATTCAAATAGCTCACTATTTTATGCAGTAATAAAATAAAATATAAAAATTTTTATATTTGTTACTGTTGAACAAGTACAAAGCTTGTAGACATTAACTCCAAGTGCTTATAAATAATGTATACTCCACACCTTCTGTTTAATCATTAAAAAAAGGAAATACAATAGAAAGTTATTATCAACTTTTAAACCTAGTAAATATTTTAAAATACTGTAAAATATTCCAAGTGTTACAAGAATAAGTAAACATTAAGATGATTTATCATTGAAGGAAATAAAATATAATACCATAAATATTCTAAATGTATATCCGTACAGTGTATATTGAAACATGAGCCTTTGAAATTGTTTTGTATTCTTCAGCTCCAAAAATAATTATTACTTTAAGGTCTATTTCAAGAAGTCTACATTTACTGTCATTTCACTTATTGAAAAGCTACTCTAGGATAAACAAACCAGAGATACAAGAAGCAGTAAATTTCCTTGGTATAAAACAAACAATGTCTCATCACATGACACAAATAATCCATCAACTCGAGCTGGCAGAGAACATCTTACAAGCCTACTATAATTAATGAAACATTGTAAACTATGGTATTTTAGTGAGACAATTGAACTAAAAATGTAGTACAACAGCACACAAGCAGAGGGAATAGAATAACACAAACATCGAACATGGTTGTTTGAAATGGATGTGCTGTGACATAATCATTATCAGCAACAGTAGAGAGAGAGAGAGAGAGAGAGAGAGAGAGAGAGAGAGAGAGAGAGAGAGAGAGAGAGAGAGAGAGAGAGAGAGAGAGAAGCATAGGAGCATGCAGCAATGAATAATAAAAAGAGTCAATGCAGCAGTAGAAGGAATAAAGAGGAGTTGGGCCACTCAATGAGCGTGACCTTCCCCCTTGGTCTGTAACCACCTGCAGCTCTTCAGACGAGACATAGGGAGATACAACAAGATAAAGAGAGAAACAGACAGACGGAAAGCGCAAGGGGAGAGAGCGAAAAAGATGCCAGAAACAGCACAGAATGTGAGAGACAGAGACAGAGAGACATGTTTACAAACTGATGGACGGTAAGAGAGAAGGTAACTAACTTTTGGCAGCGGATAGCAGATCCTTGACCTCCTTGATGAGCCGCTTGATCTGCTGGCTGGTCTTGTCGAGCTCACGCTCGTGATAGTGGAGATTCTCGCGGAAGTAGGGGCTATCCGTGAGGCAATCCGTGAACTCGAGCGGCTTCAGACCAACACCCATGTTACGCCTGGCTCGTTGGGCTATTACCAATCTCTCTCACTCTCTCGTTCTTTCCCTCGCTCCGTCGTCGTCCCTTTCGCTGCCTTGCGTGCGTATTGCTCACGACTACTCGGGCGCCGCGGCTACTGCTCCTGATGCACTTGTCTCCAGCACGTGCATTTATGGCGAGGAGTATTCAGCGAGATCCTTTATCCACGTACAAAACAACACCCGCGGCAATTTCGCACACGTATGCTCTACTCGTCAAGCACTTTCCACGGACACACGCACTCTTTTGACACGGCGGGGGGACCCCGCGACGACGCCACTATACAAGCACGAACGGACGAGAGCGCGATCACACAAAACGTATATCCAAGAGCAACTGACGAGGAGAGAGAATGTAATCTGCGTGCGTGCGCAACGTTGTGTTGAGTATTATCTGTGTGCTCTGCGCAGCGGGGAGAGCTGACGCGAGGAGTGACGGTCGTAAAACGCGAGGCGTTCTCTCTTTCTCTCCTCTCCTGTTTTTATAGGAATTTTATTTTTAGGCACCAATTATCGACCCTTTTCGTCCTGTCATTACTATGACTCGGCTCGCTATCGTATAGCTATACTTCATTCATCGAAGGTTTTTTTATCTTACTCTTGCGTGTCTGTGTGTGCTTCGGGATTTCTATTTTTAAACGTATAAGAACCGTATATTTTTCCACGCGAATAACTCGTTCCGCTTGGCTATTATACTATGAGCTTGTAATGAATTATAGATTCGGTGCGGACGATGCAAACGATTCCGATTATTAACAGACTCTAAGTTTCACTGCTCGCATAACGGAGCGCACGCAAGCGAAGAATGCAAAAACAAGGGGAAAAAAGTCGCGAGCGATCGTCAGCAAAAGTAATCCATTGTCAGCCCGAAAATTCCCTCACCACACCACCGAGCAATAATCGATAGTATTGCTTCGTGTGTATATAGACGCCTGTTATTTATGTACGTGTGTGGGTGACTTACAGAGTCAGTGTTTTTGCCTTCGCGCGCGGGACAGTAGCTCGATCTGTTGGTGGCAGTTTTAATTCGCAATGCTACAATTTACAATGGCCGTTTGATATGATCGTCACCTAGCTTTTACGGATGGATTGTCAATTTTTCCACATTGTTGGACCCGATGATTGTTTGATCGTTCGGCGTCGAAGCGAAACGATTATTTCGGTAATTTTGAGGTGTTAAAATTCGAGGTGAACATCTGAGTGGTTGGAAAAATGGCAGAGATTGAAGCCATGGAGGGCTTTATCTGCCCGATTTGCATGATAGATTTAAAAACTCCCACTGTGCTGACAAAACATTTCGAGGAGTATCACAAGGATGATCCTGAAATTCTCAAGTCTCTTAAAGGTTTACACAACTTTCTTTTGTTTTCTATTCTTCAATTTCAACGCGTGTAATAATAATAATGTGTCATATATTTTTGCGATAAATATGTAAAAGATATTTTTTAATCAAAAAATTTCTGTTTTCAAAAAATAAAAAAGTAAAACATTTTCTCTGCAAATATGCAAACATCTATTTCATACAGTTTATCTGTGGAATTTAATATGTGAGTCAGTTTCACTTGTCCAATTACAACTAATGAGGCCAATGAGTGTCACACTCGCCTGCTTTTTAAACATTTCCTTTTATTTTGCTTGGCATACTTTATATGATATATAATTCAATTTTTGTTTTTATAGATTTATTTGGAAAAGCCAAGAAAAAAATATTAAAGCAAGATGAAATTCAAGATTATCCAGAAGCATTATTAGCTAGTGTACAAAGTAAAAGACAAGAAATTGATTGGGGTCCACAAGATATTGGTATATTAAGTTTGATATAATTTACACCTTTTACTTGTTTTTTTCAAAACTTAATCATGACTTCAGCTCTCTTTTTATAGGTGTGACAAGATCGCACTCAAAGTATTTTAAAGAAATAAGAAACACAAGATTGGAGAGATATGCCACAGAGACTAACAAACTTTTGATAAGACTGGATAAACTGCTAAGTAATTTGCCTAGTGATCCTGTCAGACGAAAATGTGTGCACATTTTTACAAATACTGTGTAGATTTGTATGTTAAAAAAAATGTTAATACAATTTATATTATTTAAAACAGATCACGAACAAGCTATAGTCCCCTGGATGGATGATAAGGATGTGAGATTGTGCCTGACATGTGCGAAAAGTTTCAACTTAACCAGAAGGAAACATCATTGCAGACTGTGTGGTGTAATGATGTGTCACGACTGTAGTATATTCTTATCTCTAGTCGAAGCGCGTGAGTACTAATCATGAAATTCCAAAAAGAGAAAATAAAAAAGAATAAGTCTTCAACAGTAATAATGTATTATAGGTAAAATGACTAGTCCAGCCTTGGTGCAAGAAGAAGGAGCTCTTTCACCTACAAACGAATCCATAACGTTCACTAATCGCCTCGTCCAAGCCGGTGTAGGTCTATCAAAATTTGCACGTTCACCGTCCAGCGGAAGCTTGAATAGTGTGTTATCAATAATTGGCGACTCGTCGAACAGTGATCAGTTCTTTCGAGTTTGTCAGCATTGTAATAATCTTTTAGAAGCAAGAGAACGGCTGAAAGCGAGGCACTTTGAAAAACCCGCTGTACACCAATGGTACGAAAAGATGCGTGTACAGATGCAGGAAGGCGATCGTTTCATGAATATCTACTACAAGATGTGGAATTCGCTCAATGAGGGTGAATCGACTTATGATCTTCGCGATGCTCAAGTTGTACGCGGAAAGATCGCTAAAATCGGCGACAATATCGACTTGATAAGTAAGAAAATTGCCTCCCTAGTCAAAGTGGACGACAATAGTCCAGCGGCCTCAAAACAAGAGTCCAGGTTACATCAGATGGTTAGGACATCGGCGATGATTTATTTGAAGAATGAGTTACTAAGAGCACCACCTGTACCAACCGAAGAAGAGTTTGAGGCGATCAAAAAGGAAAGAGCGGAGAAGATAAGAGCGAGAATCGCATACGAGAAACAATTGGATGAAGAGAGATTAGAGAAACTTAAAGAGTCGCAGAGAGAAATATCTCAAAGGCCATTCGACCGAAGCGATAAGAAAAGTCCTACGTCAAACCAGGTACTATTAATAAAAAACTCCTTTAGTTGATAAATTTAATTTTATTATAAAAAATTATAATTATAAATTCTCAATTATTAAAAAATAAAACATTAAATTACAAAATATATATATTTCACAGGTGGTGTTGGACCAATCGCAAGGTTGGGGTACATCAGGCCGTCCAGGTGGTAACATGATGATCACCACAGACTCGATCGATCCATTTGTCGAGCAAATGAGTAATCTACGTTTTTACATAAAACAAGCTCGCGAAGAGTGCAAATTTGAAGAAGTAGCGACTCTGGAGAGAAATCTCAAAGAACTTCAGAGCGCTTATTTCGCGATGCAGCAGAATGAAAACAACAGTACCGGCAACGACTGAAGCCTTTGTGATATATATATGCAATCGCATTATTGTTACGTTTGTTATTTTTTTGTAGAGGAAAACAACGTATACATTCTAAGTTTTACACTGTATTTACAAATAAAATTCGAAATCGAAACGAATCACGTATTCTTGTTCATTCTGTCACTATACTTGAGTACAGCAATGGGTATGTCACTTTCTGAAGCAGTTGGCGTAGTTGTGTCAAAGTTATCGATTGACGATGACGACATCGTTCTCTCTATCGTTGAAGTTTCCATTGTGTTATTGTCGTTCGAATATATTTCGTCGTTATCGTTTACGCACAGAGGAATATTTTCAGACGCGACGACTTGCAAGTCGTAATTCTCCGGCGCGCACTAAAAGGCATGTTAGAATAAGTTTTATGAATACAGTAATAATACAGTTTTGACATTATGTACATTATATGAATAAGTTACCTCATATTTATCAGCGGCGGATTCAGTACCAGGTTTCGGCATATATGAAACTTGATCTGGTACATATTTTATATCGTCAATAGTTTTACTAAATTTTATCATATCTGATCTGTCAACGCTGAATTCTATTAAATCCGAATGTTCGACGTCTGCCTGAATATTTTCAGTGCGTACTACTAAGTTTAATGGTTCCTCTACATAATTTACAGAACACGTTAATTCATCTTCACTTTGTGTTACTAGAGCGGCCTGCTCTTTCAAGATTTTTTCTAACATCTCATCGGAAATATCGATGACTGCAGCTGGACCCTGTTTTGGACGTTCGGGAGCATCGACTAAATAAATAAAATTTTGATTATACATCATAAATAAAAAAAGGAATTTTTACACGAGAAATAGTACATTACGATACAAGTGCGAGAAAGTAGATTCTTTTCTTTTTTTTCTCTTTCCCGAACATGTGCCGTACCGTATTTTTTGATACGACGCGTGGAAAGTGCGATTTTCAACGCACGTTTTCTGCCGAACGTGCGGGAAAGACGCACTTTGCGCACGGTGTGTCGAAAACTTACTTTTCAACACTTCGACGGCTAAATAATCTGCAGCTTTGAAAAACTCTAGTTTGACAAGCAAATCGAGTAACAATTTGCAAGTAGGGCGATATTTGCCTATAGTGCTCCATTCCGAGAGAAATATCTCAGCACCGGATCGCCTTTGTTGGTGGATAGCTTGCTCAATCATACTACGTAAAATTGAACCAAATTAGCGTACGTTTAAAATTGAGTCAGATTCAAGTTGTGTTTTCTCCACTTACCGATAATGATTGGGGCTAAACAATGAGACGTTTTCGTTTTCATCGTCCGGGACGATTTCCATCAATTTCTTCCAGTAATTCGACTCGTTCAGGTACATTGCTAAGGTGTACAACTCTGTAGCTGGCAATTTTCTAATTTCAGTCTCAAAAGTTGCCATTGTCTGAAAATTTAATTTCATTGATTGATAACTGAGTAAATGCACATGTAATGAACCGGCTTTTTTAGTGAAACGTAAAAACAAGTTGAAGGTAAGTATTAAAACAAATTTCTTCACAAAGCCTTTTCATAAAAAAACATTGTACGTTGTGAAAGTCGAAAAAATAAAGTGCAAGTTTGAGGTTAGAACATAAAAAGACGATTCTGGACTTACAATTAATAAAAAAAATCGGTAGTTCTGTTTCTTCAGGATCTTCGAAGCACAGCCCTATCTAGCATATAACGTTATTTCTCACCAACGAAACTAAAAACTTACAAAACAGCTCGAACTTTAAACTAAAAGTCTTTCCTAAACTATGTGTATCTTTCCAACATTATTCTCGACATGAAATCACTATTCACTATTACTAGTATAAAATACAAAGCAAAATTTTTGAGCTAACAACGCCTGTGTTTTTATGGTAGCTTCCTTTCGTTCGGCGTACTGAAAGAAACCCGACACACAGGACACACTCTATAATCATGTTATTTGGGCAACTCCGTAGCAGAAGCCGGGTTTTCCACGCCATGTGACGTACATACAGTCATTCACAGGGCCATTATACGGTGCGCAAAATCTAGCGCGAAATTTGAAAGTTACTTTCATTCGAAACGCGTCAACGAAGCATAAGTTGCAAATCGTGTATTCGAATAATATGTCAAATGCTTTATTGTAAAACTTAATCCAATTACACTTTGGTTTGATTTCGCAAAGGCTGATGCATACAATCGTAGAATTACATTCAACAATTGTTCGATAAACAGCTGTCATGTAACGACAAAAAATTTACAATGAACGTGTGTATGTATGTTCGCGTGTGAGGTTGAAAATATACACATTTCTCTGATATAAGTGACATCTCTTAAATTGTATTTTCCAAACGAAGCCTTAATTACGCAACTTCGAGCAAAAATTATAATTCTTTCTCGTCTCTGCACAACTCAACTGATTAATCGGTTAGAGCGAACAACGAAATCGTGGAGCCGCCCGGAAAATGGCGATCGAGTGTTCGCGGTTTACACGCGAGTGCAAGGAGAAGAGCAGAAACGGGCACGCTTCGTAGAAAAAATGGTATTTGACGAAACAAAAAAACAAACAAAACAGAAAAAAAAAAAAACGAGGATAAATGCAGTAATAAAAGTATGCACGTAGCGTTGGTCGCAGAGCAACGTGTCTCGCAGATCTCTGAGGAGAGTGCCGTCGTCGAGCGATCGGGGTATCTGGAACAACGAGATGGTCAATGGAGGATGAAGCGAGCAAGGCGGATCACTTTGCCGGAAGAGGAGAGACGGCGCGGGCCAGCTAGTGGAGTCGTCTAACCGGAGGCGTTCGCGTTGACGGCTTCGGTGGTGGTGCTTTGCGCGTCGGCGGGCGCGGGCGCCTTCTCCTGCAGCTCCAGCCACGGCAGCCTCTTCTGCAACTCCAACCTGCGAGAGGGAGGCGTGGGTCGGTCGTCCGGTCGATCGGTTTGTCGGGACGGATCGGTTGGTCGGCTCACCTGTATCTGGGATGGCTGATCGCGTAGACGTAAGGGTCCAAGCAGGCGACGGCTTTGCAGCAGCAGGCCGGTATCATGGTGACGCTGGGCGAGAGCAGCGCCTTGTTGCCGAAGGCACCGATCATGGCCATGACGCCGTAGGGCGTCCAGGCGGCGACGAACAGGAAGCACACGGTGATCGCCGCCTGGGGACAGAGAGTTTGTCAGAGGGGACAGATTGTCCGGCGGTCGTGCACTCGCGGCCGAGCGTACCTTGGCGATTCGGACTTCGGCCGACTGCTCCTGCTGCTTCTGGCCGCTCCTCAGGCTCTCCACGTTCATCTTCTTGGCCTGGGCGCGCAGCGCCTTCTCGTGGTTGACCACGAAGCCCACGATCTGGCTGTAGAAGTAGATGATCATGGACATGGGGAAGATGTAGGAGAAGGTAAAGATGGTGGCCACGAAGTAGCGAGTCTCGTCGGTGTCCGTCAAGTAGTCGAAGGTGCAGCTGGTGAGGTAGCCCTCGGGCGCGAACCTGCCCCAGACGCCCAGTAGCGGCATCAGCGCCCAGGGTAGCACGTACGTCCAGATCAGCGTCACCAGCATGATCACCTGGCCTCGGGACAGCTTGCCGTCGAGGGGGCGCGCGATCGTGCTGTGGCAGAGCGGAATTAGTGCGCCGAGCGGAATTAGTCGGCCGAGCGAGCTCGTCACCAACCTGTAACGATCGTACGCGATCGCCGCGTTGGTCATGCCGGCGCCCATGCCGCTGATCGTGCCCATCACCCCGAAGATCTCGCAGCCAAGGTGGCCCAGCGCGAAGCCGGTGTTGAACGAGTTGTAGATGAAGATCGGCGTTTTCATCATCATCATGAAATCGAGGATCGCCAGGTTCACCACGAAGATGTTCGACGGCGTTCTCAGCGATTTCGCCCTGCAACGTAGTCTCTTTTCGTCAACTCGCCCGAGGGATTGGCTCGATCTTCCACGATGCCTGACTGGTCTTTGGCAATTTGTCTCGGAAGCGAAGTCGCACCAACGGAACAAGATCAGCCGCGGCGCGCACTTACGAGCAGAAGATCCAGATGACGAGCCCGTTGCCGAGCAGAGCGATGAAGGTGAAGAGGATGTAGAGCAGGCCGAGCAGGTAGTGCATCGCGGGATTGGGCTCCGGGAAGCTGAGCCAGTGCTCGGGTACGTACTGCAGCTCGTCGGCTGGGACGTTCCAGCCGAGCAACCTCGGCGGACCGGCCGCGGGTTGGATCCGCGCCTCCCAGTTCGCGCCACCACCAGTCCAGTTGTACTCCGGCATCTTTTTTCCGTCTCAACGCTCCTCTGCGCTGGCAGACGCCAGTCGAGTCGCGCCTACTTTTATACCCTCGCCTCAGCCCTCGAAGCCTCGTTTCTCCTCTCGCCAAAGGCTTCGGATTAGGCCACGCCGCGGATTATCCCCCTCAAAGTCAAATCCATTGCCACGGCTAATACCGACGAGCGGGATAACGGGGCTAAAACTCCCGAGCCTGTGTGTGGCTGTATTGTTGCTATTGCTCTCTATGCGGGTTTGCGTCTTTGTTGTCTGTTTCTCTTTGCCCCTTTCGGCAAAAGTGTCGACAGATGATTATTAGCTTTCGTAGGTGATATTCGCGGTCTGGGGCTTCTTTGGATTTCTCGAGGAATCAATAGTTGACCGATGGATTTTTAGTTTCTCATGGAAACAGACAATGCGAGGCAAAATAGAAATTTCCATAATACAGCTGTTCGTTGAATCATCAAATTAGTTTATTTATTGAATGTTTGAAAAACAAAAAAACGCGAATGCCCGAGAAGATTGAAAGCCAGTTTGTCATCGGCATTCGCGTATAAAGCTTTAGAAAAGCAACTTTGCGCATTTACCTGCATGCCGACTCGATTAGTAAATCGGGTAAGCCAGCACAAGGAAAATCTAAATGAATAATCGAGTCTACAGCGATTTTCATGTTTAGAGTTGATACTACCAGGTCGCTTTTTTTATCATTTCAAAGTTGTTGTTTCCAAAAGAAATTATGCTCACAGGCACGTAATTTAGAGATTCTTCGATAAAGACGACCAAGATCAATTTGGACCCAATCAATGAGTTTTAAAAAACTAAAACAACTAGTAATACTGCATTGATGGTTTTTAACGCATTACTGTCTAGCACTACACAGTTCAAGCGAAGAACATATTATTTAATATTTCCCATGTACACTATTGTTATAATTATTATCGTGCAAGTACCTTTTACGAGGTAATAGTCTTAATCAGCAACTATACAGGGTAGGGAAAAATATAAATATGGCTTCAAAAAGTCACACATAACATGAAATTGTAGAAATTAAGTGAAACAAATAATTTATTAAAGAAATATTTCGTTAGTTTAGTAGAAGTTGACAAGACGATGTTTTGTTTGTGTAAAACAATGTTTTTTATTTGTAAATTTTAAGCTGACAACACTTACAATTTAACAGTAAATAAATATTAACTAAAATACAATCGTACGTGGACAAGTAAAGTAGCTCGAATTTCACGATTTTCACAAAATTTGACGGAAATATGGCATGCAACAGTTTTTATAATCGCTGATCATCGGCAATATTTTACAAATTTGTAAAATATTGCCGATGATGTGTAAAATATTGTGAAATATAAATCTTTCGTTTTTTCAAATGTTTTTTGTCAGTTTTTACAAATTTATTCCTGTTATTTTTACAAATTCATTTTTGCAAGAAACTCAATTAAAAACCTCTCGAAAGGGAATTGAAGTCTATTTTCACGCCATTATATTGCACAAAAAAGTACTACTATCTTGATAGAATTTTTCACTTGGAAGGACTTTTATTTTCATTTTAAAAGCAATATTGTACATTTGAACCCAATCAATGTCACGAATGTGACCCTAAAATAATGTTAAAAAGCATGTTTGACAATGTCAAGATCACCATTCAATTCCTTGTTAAAAATAACTAAAGATACTGATAATTTTTTTTATCGCTAATCATGCAAGGATTCAACAGATTTTCCTGCCAACAATTGGCTCAGTAGAGGCCATTTTGGCCATATATTTTATTTTTAACCGTATAGTTTTCCGCTCTTTAAAAAAAAATAGGGGTATGTAATGTAAAAAATAGAGGTTCCCATTTAAAAAAGTAAGTTAACTTTATAATGACCTTGAAAATGAGGTTCAAGATTAAAACTAAGGTCATCATTGAATTCCTCGGTGATAATTACTAAGTTCTAACCTTCATAATTTTTTATCAACATTTGTTCTCCGAAATTTCCAGGGGTTTTCTTATATTTTAATATTTAATATCATCATAATTAATATCATCATAATGTAATATCATCCTGTATATATGTCCGTTGCCATACTGTTTTACAATGAAAAAAAAATTAAACCAACTACATATCAAATTATTGAAAGTACTCATGAAGTTTAGTAATTATGATTTAAAAGCTCTTTTTGTTCAATGATCAACTCGCTATAGCATAAAATTGGAGCGAAAATTGAACGACACAAATGTTTTATCTTGAACCCATACGGAATATATAAAATTTATCTCGCAGTCATAAACTATTTTGAATTTTGCTAATTAAGAAATGAAACTATTATCGGCTAACAGCGTCAGAATTATTTTCATGGACGCCATCGAGCTAGTGGTGAGAAATGTTAATATCCCAAGCCGTACTTAGTTTCCGCAATCTAGGACCGTCCATGTCGCTCCGAGGAGTCATCGGCGAGCGTGTGGGCGGCTAAGTAAAGCGATGGATTGTCAGGATTGCGAAGCAATGGGTTCTTCGTGGTAGAGTCGCGAGCGCCAAGACTCGAGTAGCCTTCGTCGTAGAGCGAGCAATAAGGAACTTTGTGGTTGATCAGGAAGTCCCATACCTGGAAGAAAAAGAGCGGCTTTAACGAGGCACAAGCGGGGCGCACAAGTTGGCGACGCGCACTTGGCTGTAAGACCAGCTGATAATGGGAAAAACGCGCATGATCGACGGCCAGCTGGGATCGGTGGGTGCGAAGGTATCTAAGGAGTGAGCGCCGGGATCGTTTTTCCTCGTGCCCATCAGCACGGCTTTCAGTCCTGGCCTCTCGCGCTCGAGCAGTTTCGATAGAGCCTCTCGTATCAGCCCGTCCATGCTGATCAACTCGAAGCCGTAGTAGCTCGCTGCCTCGCCAACGAACGCGTCCACCTGAGGATTCGAGCGGGTTCACTTTCATTTTCACTTCTTATATTTTTAACTGATCAAAATGGTATAAATCGATGTCATTTCAAACAGTAGCATCAACGACGCGCAAACGTGACAAACCTCTGGAAAGGCATCGTGAGTCACGTACAGCGATAACGGAGGCTCGAATTTTCGTAATTTTGCGAGCGTGGCAGCCAAGTGCAAGACCACAGTGCAGTCTTTGCCTCCGTTGAAACTTAGAAATACCTCGCTGGGCTGGTACCTGGCAAGAGACACGAATTATAATTCTTTGTTTTTCCACTTGTATCTTATTATTAAAGAGAAAAAAAAATGGTATCTTGCACTTTGCCGACTAAGTGAGAAACGTGCGCTAAAAGAATACTGACCTCTCGTAGCACTCTTCGAGCGCCTCGAATGCGCGCCTAACGTGCGGGCACTCCCCTCTGCTTTCGTACACCTTCTTGGCATCGTCCACGTTGAACGCCGCTCTCTCCTGCCGTTCGCCGACGCTGTCGGCTAACTTATCCTCCATGTCCTTCTTAGCTCTGTCCAGTGCCTCCTTGTCACGACTCTCGAACGTGATCCTCGTTCTCGTTCGCTTGCCCGGCTGCGGATAACTGCCGATCGACACCACGCCCGTCCAACGCTTCGCCTCCTCGTCCAGTACCGGCACGATGGACAATTCGTCCGCCTCGACGTCCGCGTGGTCGGTGTGCAGCGGCTGGCCTCGCTCCAGCGAGGGAATGATCTGATCCACCGCCGGGCGAAAGTAGCACGGCGACCCGGGCAACACGTACACGTTCTGCACTTTTATTATCGCGTAAGTGTCTGCGCAGGAAAGACAAGGGTATTTAAGCAGGTGTGATAACGCATCCGGCTGATTCAACATGTAACGCAATGGGCTTCGAACTGGGCGACGTTCGATGCGCTCTAGCAAACACGCGATTTATTTTCCTTTCCAAACTCTAAGCTGTGACTGTGACGAACGCGCTATGCGTAACGGGAACGGAGGAAAAGACGGTTTTAACGCGCGGCCTTGGAAGAATTTACGATCGTTTGACTTTTCTTTTGTCGCCTCTCGCGAGGAGCGTCGCTCGAGGCGGCGAATTTTCTTACTATTGCTGCCGGGGGTCACAACGCCGACGAGTTCGCAGGGACAGGGCACAAGAGCGAGCCGCCGTGATTCCGGCCTGTCGGGAAACAGTTGGGACAGCGACTCGAGCAGACTTTTGTTTTGTTTCATGAGGCCTAGACCGAGACCTTTGGCCACTGCTTCGTAAGTGACGTCGTCGTGGGTTGGACCAACGCCGCCGGACGTGAACACTAGTGGATAAGCTTTAGATAGCTCCGACACCTCTTTCGCTATCAATTCCACCTGTTGGCAGGCACATATGTGGCGAATGTTCAATGCTGTCGCTCAAGACGTGACCGTTTGCAAGTTCAGTTGTGCCAAGATGATCGCGTGGGTTCCAACTGTTGCGAGTGTAATAGTGTGAATTACGTTAATTTATTACGCCAATCGCTTGTGTTGTGATAAACAGTTAGCACTTTTCCATTAATTGTATTTTATCAAGAAATTTTTCTAGCTAAATACATATTTATTGCATAATGTGTACGCGGAAAAAGAAACTGGATATTATCAAGGTGAGACATTTATATCGAAGACATTATTTACAAAGTTCATGTGATGGCTACGTGAACTTGTTACCTCATCCGGAACAATGACGACTCTCCGTATTTTAATACCAATTTCCAACAAATTCTTAGCCAGATAAGCGGTATTAGCGTCCTGAACTTGTCCCTTCAGAATCTCATCGCCGATGATAACAACGGCAGCCACGTGTTCGTCTGCCATCGCGCTGATGTGACTAAAATATTCAGGATGGGAATTAAAAAAAATAATTCAACAATCCTTCGGCATTTGATAAAAAGTTATTTACATTTATTCATCATATACAAGTCTTAAGATAATCGAGTCTAAAGTGTGAGAATGTCATAGTTGCATGTTGCCAACGAGCTCGGTGGCTTTATCTTTCGCGGCTGCGCTCAATGTCTCAATTTTCACCGGACGTGCTATGGGTTGCTTGGTCTTGTTTTTCTTACTGCCCTGTTGACGCACTTCTTTGCTAAGTTCCACCAGCTGCTTATTTATCATATTGGTCTTTTCCTTGTTCAACTTGTTCCCTTGTCCCAGATCCAACTGCGTACAAAACATTCATTTTTTTTTGGCTCATTGATGACTCTTTTCATAGTTTTCCTTCATCAACTTACTTTTTTTAATGTAGTTTTGACCTTCTTGGCCTTGACTTTCTGTAAGCGCGCCCCTGCCACCTTGAACACGTTCTTAGCTTTGCCTTTGTTTTTGCCCATTGCTGCTTTTCTCTGAAACATCAGTAGGCAATGCTTTATCGTCCAATTTTAATCGTTTCTTAACAGGTTCCTCTACACCCAATAGTATTTTGGCTGTTAACTTGAATGACACACGCATCATTTCCTTATTTGGAGCCACATTTCGCACATGATGGATATTTATTAGAGATTCTTCTGAGAGAGTTGAATGCAAGTTCTCTTCTACCAATTCTTTTGCCAAGGTTTCAAAATCGTCTGTTCTAGCTGCCTTAATGAAGCAATAAACGTGTACCGTTGGAGGTTTAGAGCAGATTTTTCTTATTTCATCTCTTGTCAGCCAATTAGGGAACACATCAAGAAACTCTACTGCCACTGCTGGTAAATTCATGACCATGTGTTCGTTACCTGGTTCATCATTTTCCCTTCTCGACAAAATATTCGATTTGACCTCTGTTTTCAAAAATTCTCTTCCATCCTTATTAAATGCATTTATGCGAGATAATACTTTATTAGTTTTAGCATTCTCAAACAGCCATTTGCAACATTCTGGATTCAAATCATTTGCCAGAACTTTAAGACCTTTTTTAGCAGCTGGTATAGAGAATGGACCCACTCCGCAAAATATATCGTAAAGAATGTCATCTGGTTTTAACAAACTTACTAGAGCAGCATGCTCTGTACATAGTCTTGGATTCCAATATACTTTAGAAAAGTCGAAGCTGTAAATGAGGCCACTTTCTTTCACAGTTACAATTGTAGTTTCCTCACCAACTAGAATCTCCATGGCAAAATTTCTATAAATATTATCAATGATGTCTAACTTGTTCACAACTGTTCTTGCTGTAGGTATTTTATCAAGAAATACTTGGCCTATCACTTGCTTAAATGGCAATTGATCCTCTCTAAGATTTAGATGAACAATGTGACCAATGAGGCTGTAGGACGTTGGTACTTCAATGTTTTCTGGTAAAATGGCACGGAGAACTTCATCGCAAGGCCAATTTTCATAAGTCAATTCCACTTTAGCTTCTTTGAAATTTTTGTCCCATTCTATATCTTGTTTCACTGCATCTGTTACATTATCAACTTTCCTTGGATCAAGATAAATTGTAGAGTTTTCTTTTGCCTGTTCACAAGGCTGAATTGCTTTAAACTTGGGAAGTTTTAAGAGAAAATCTTTTAGCTTCTCTCTATACTCATTAAGAGACTTTGTTGGTAGAATCAATGTAGGAAACTTGTCAAACATGACTTTGAAGGATTCTTTATCTAATTCATTTTTGCCACGTACTGAAGATGGAGGAACCAACAATGAAGTCATCGTAGTCTGGTAAATATTATAGTGGACACTTGAAAGACAAGCACCCAACTGCACTAATCGCCTGGATCCAATCATGTGAGCTGGATGGATTTACGTTTCCTTGAACAAGAGTTCAAGTTTTCTTTTAACGCTTGTGTGGATAGTTTTACAGATTTTCTAAATTTCTAATTCAAATAAAGAAGGTACAAAATTATACAATAGTATATTGATGATACAATGGTATGAAAAAAAAATAAATAAATAAATTGTATTTGAATGTTATTGTTTTTGTTCCTTGCTTTATTTGATCAGTATACAATATAAGACATACATTGAACGAATTTGAAGAGAAACATTTAAATATAAATTACAAGTATATCTGAATGAAAGGTATATGATCTTGAACTTTTGCTCAACATAACGAATCTATATATATTCAAGAAAACGTCAAATCCGTTTGAATCAACAAAAAAGAACATGCACTCGAATGAACACTCTCATAACCTATAGACATATTTGTTTTCCACGGTTTCATATAAATTTTATTGATTAATCAAACAAGCATAAGCAAACGTTTAAAAATACAATTGATAATTACCTGCTATGAAGTATCAGCAAAAAACAACGTATTGTTGTCCGTGTGATTGATCAAAACGCCTCTTTCGAGTTTTATCTTCGAAAACACGAGGCCACACGTAGTAGTAAAATTAACGAACAGACGCGTCTATATTCGTTGGCAAAACTACCACGGTTTGATTTTAGCAACACTCTGAATTGCGCGCCGATTGTGAACGTCCTTCAACTTTTTTAAGGCGTACAACTTCAGGTGTAATTACCAGCTGATTATATATCAAGTATTTTGTGAAGAGCCTTACGTATCAGCGCTGTATTTTGTGTATAATACGAAGAGGATGCCGAAGCAGAGGTTTGCCGATTCAACTTGATTGTTTATTCACTATATAATATCGTTGGAAAGAAGTGTCACGTACTCACTCATCAACGGGATGACTGCTGAGACGAACGTAAAAGGTTATGCGCCGTTACCCCAAAGCATCAGCAATACCGACACCGAGGACGACGACGAAGATCACCAACATAGTCGCACCGAGTCTTTGTCCAAAGATGACAATCAATCCAGAATAAGTGTACGTTTTATTTGTAATATCTGAGATTTGTAATTTTGGAGAATAGGTATCTATTTTGTATTGTGAAGCACTTTCTAGATGCATTTAGAGTGGTTCTTATGATTATGCTTTCTATTGCTTTCTAATTATTCATGAAGTCACGATGAAAATGGAAGTGCGATTTTCGCTGCATTTTCGTCTAATGCATGACATTAGACGAGAGAGTATGTAGAGGTTTCAATTTATTATTTTTTCTATTTTTATAATTTAATAATATTAATTTTTCATTACTATAAAATTTCAGTTCAATAGTCGAATTACGCTTTCATTTTTATCACAAGATAGATACAGTTTTCAAAGTATACAGTATATAAGAAATTCCAATCAATAGTGTCATTACAATGTGAAATATTACTGAGTTGAATCATTTTGAGATATAATACTTATTGAAAATCGTAAAAGAATGAAATAAATTATTTTGTTGACAATTACAAAGTTTAAAAAGATTAAAATAAAATTGTACTATTAATTCATCTGAAAATCAATTGTCATTATACAACAGTTTATTGTATGTTGAAAGTAATAAATCAATATTTTTACAGGACACTACCCAAATATGCCAGAATGGCAGGTTTTGTCCACTTGATGAAACCAAAAACCTTGCAAATAGATCAAGAAATGGAAGAAACTCATTTGGGTACAGTAATGACAATATTCCAATCATGATATTAGATGGACAAAGTCACGATGACCTCTGGAAGAGGCATGATATGTCACCACTTAGACGTTTCTCTTTAGTTGTATCAGTATTACTATGTGTGCTAACTATATTGATATTCTTATATGTACTACCTTGTGATAACTCAGCGATATGCCCACCTGTACCCGAACCAAAGACTTCTGTATCATGGGATAAGACTTTAGAGGGTGTTGGTGAGTTTATGAATTAAATTTGGTTGAGTGTTCAGTAAAATTTCATATTTTTAGAAAACAAAAATTGACTATAATTGTTATTTTATTACAGAATTACATGGACGAATAACTCTGATTCCTAGTAAACCTTACAATTTAATATTCCTGTTACGAGGCCAACAGTTTGGTGACAAAGGTCCTCGAGGTACAGTAGGCCTGCAGCAAATAACTCCTGGTGGAGGTGGTGTTTTATCAATGCAAGGCACCAATGGTATCCCATTATGGTGGGTGGTACTAAAACGTGTACCAACAGATATAAATTGCGAGCTCCTGGATACCGATGGATCAGGTAAACCAGATTGTTTGGTATCGGGTCAAGGTGGCCTACTAGTCAGCATTGAACCAATTGCTGGTACCATTCATTGGAACTCAGACACTCATACTCACTCGGATTTACCGATGTTGCTTTCGGATGTTGATTCTGATGGAATCGATGACTTACTCAGCATTGAGTTGGCTAATGTTGGCTTCAACCTCGTCTTGCTTTCTGGTAGAACCGGCAAACTCATACATCCATGGCCTATGCCTAAATGTCGGAGAATTAGTTTGGATAGTATCGACGCTGCTTTTGTACTTAAGTACACGTGCTACAATGAAAGTAATGGTGAGTAATAAAGCTTACAAATTTTCACACATTTATCACATGATGAACTGATTAAATATTTGAAATTTTTGTAGTTGAAAAAACTATTCTTCTAAAGAATCTTATAGAATCGGCAAATGATGTTAAACCTGATCGCAAATTATCTTTATCGAGCATACCAACTCCTACGCCTAGTTCAACTGTTTATCCTAATAAGACGTCGGTGGATAGTTGGGATTTGACACCTTATCATAGGTTGTATGTGTGCAATCTCGGTGGCGATGCTTGCCCTGAAGACGAGTGCAAAGCTCATGTGAATTTGACTCTTCGTCGCGGAGTCAACGAGAGTCGAATCTGGGATCATGTCAGCCCAATGAGCTTTGTCACTAAACCGGCTATATTGGATAATTCTAATCAGAATTACACTACTGGATTTGCCTTGAAGTTTTGGAGTTGGACTAACGATACCAGCGATAAGGTATGAAATGAAATTCGAGACTTTATTACTTATTTAAAAGGCTTATTTTACATAAAAAAGTGTCTTTGCTTATAGAATAAAATATCACGGACAAACATGAGGAGTATACGCCAACAGAATCTCACTGAGCACGTGAGCATCGTTTACGTAAACAACACTGAGGTGCGCGAAATAAACCCAAGCCAAAGCGAATTGCTGCAAATATGTCGCGGCAACGTTTGTCAACCGAGTTTATCACGACAGGCGTACTCGATTAGTATAGCTGACTTGAATAGTGACGGAGTATTAGAATTAATCAGTTATCGCTCGAGCTATAGCTATGCTAACGATCCGGCTAAAGCTAATCTCACTTCTAAGGTGCAAGTTGTCAAGCTTGATTCGGTGTTTTAAAATATCATGACTTTGTTGTAACGAAACAAATGAGCTTTGTGTATTTGCTTTATCACGCTAATCTGCGAGAGTATTTAGATGCTACTATCGCGGGATATCTATGTTGTTTTTATTTATTTTTAATATATATACATACATATATATTTATTTATTTATTTATTTGATAAGTAATACTTGACAAAGCTTCAAACACGCTAATGCATAATGTATTTAATTGGATAGACTTTTTCCAATAAAATTCTTGAATATATTCTGCTTCCTTTCGATTAACGAGTATCAGTGATTTCTATGTTGTTACTTATTTACTATTATAATAAATACTATAGTAATTAAACATCAAATAAAAATCAAATCAAATCAAGCTATGATACCATATAGATTTATGCATAAGAATATGTATAACCGCTTATTAGTACTATCAAAGGTACATCTTGAAAAAATGTATGTTACTTTATTACGAGTTATGATATAAAATATCTAACATTAAAAATCCACATAGTTATTTAAAAATATCAAATATAATTTCAACTAAAATTTAAAACGACCATTCATTTAGTATTTGACTATGAGTTGGTCCTAAAGGCCCTTTTGATGTAAGGATAAGAAGAAAATATTATATTAAGTACGCTCACTGCGGATGTATTTGGCCAGCTGGATATCCTTGGGCATAATGGTGACACGCTTGATGTGAATGACGCAGTGGTTGGTATCTTTGAAGATGCCGACAAAGTAAGCCTCGCTAGCCTCTGCAATTCCTTGTTTACACTGACACTTTGAGTGAGTCTCGCTTTAACTTTGAAACTCGGATTATATTTCATTAAGAGGTATAAACAAAACATGCTTAATATACAAAAGGGGAAAAAAAATTATGTGTCCGGTGTTGTTAGTTGTTCGCGATTAAAATTAGTAAAATGACAGTTGTCTACTATTGAAAGTTAAAGTGAGACTCACTTAAGTCATGACCGTGACAGGATCGTGAAGTCTTGGGCGATCTCGCGCACGAGGCGCTGGAAAGGCACAACTCTTACGAAGAGCTACAGTGCCAAAGGCCTGTAACGATGGGGCTTATTCACTCTTCCGGTTGCTGGTGCGTTTTGTTTTTCGAGCGGCCTTGGTAATGATCGAGCTACTTCCTCGGAGCCCTTCTTTCGGTGGATTTGCAGGCGGTTTACTTGGGACGTGCGAAAATAGAAGATCGTTTCGTGGAATGAAACGATCGAGAATTACACATTTTACTTTTGAACTATATTTTTGTTTATATAAATACTAATGTTTATATTATTAGTGTACAAAATATTCTACAATGATTTGTATAGTTATTATTGGTTCTCGTTATATACAGTTGTCAGCTGGTTTAATTTTTAATGTTTTTTTACATATTTTGTGTTATGTGTGTTAATTTAATAGGAAAATTTGAAAAAAACCATATCTATATTTGACATGAGTACTCAAACTAACTTAAAACCAAAAGCAATAGATACATACTTTATTATTTATTTACACCAGACGATCTACTATTCGCAACATCTATCGGTGAAAATTTCATATGATAGTCTGTGTTTTATTTTGAAAGGAACATAATCGTAATTGTATTTACCTAAGTGTATTTATCGGACTTCTTATACAAGATCTGCAAATACAAAACTAAAATGAAATACTCGTTTTTTTAAGTATAGGAGGGGAAATCTTCAAAAAGAAATCCACTCGAGATGGAATAGCAGGTAGTGTCAGGTTCATCAACAGGTGTGTCTGACTAAAACCTCTTCTCGAGATTACCTGTCCGTGGGCTATGTACTTATAGTGGGTAAAACTGCGGTGAAATTAAGGAGACCTTCGACTGAAAGGCCGTCGGTCGCTCTGCGTAGTTACGAATCTTAGAATTATTGAGTGGAGATTGATGAACAGGAACGGGGAACTTTGTCATTGCGTTTGCTGGCATACGGTGACAAGTAGTTGATAGAGTAATTGGTCTAATTCGTGATTGAACTTTTAATGTTGCGAGAGTAGATTACAGCAGCCTCCTGAATAAAAAATAAGCTAGTTTCTTGCAGGATATGGTCATTCCTGACATACCATAACCATAGTATTTTACAGGAGCTACGGAGTATTTTCACATACGTGCCTCCGAGTTTATTTAGGGAACCTGCTTTAACACGATAGTCTGTATATTATCGTTATGCATATTGCCAAAATCCCTGAACTTTGCAGCCTCCTCGACGAACTCTTGTCAGTTGACGTTGCCTGCATCGCAGAAACTCACATTCAACCGTTCCAAAAACTTTTCATCCTCAACTACTCTATCTACAAAATAAACCGCCCTAACTCTAAATTCGGTGGCGTCGCAACAATAGTTAATACTCTCTCAGGCATAAAGTCATATGCATCTAAACTTACTCTCTGGAAGTTTGTGCTGTTGAGATTACTTACAACAACAAGCCGCTTAAAATAATAGTCTGCTACTCCCTACCCGACTGCCACAAACTCATTAAGATTGTCCCCCTCCTAAACTTTAATACCATCGTGCTCGCAGGCGCCTTCAACGCTAAACACGATGATTTATAGGGCTGCCTCTTCAAGAATCCTAAAAAAAAAACAGTTTCTCCGTAGATGCTCCGACAGATTACACCCATCAACTAGACAACACATCCAAATCTCCGAATATTCTCGAAATCTTTATCAGCAAAAACATACCCCACTGAAAATAACTATACAAATTTTCTATATAATATGTATGAAATTTATACAAGAATATATATAAAAATTGTACAAACCTTGTGCAATATTCGTACAAAATTTCTAATAATTTTGTACATATTTTTTTGAATAAAAATTTTGTTCGAATATTGCATAAAGTTTGTACTAATTTTGCACTCGACTTCTTCATAAAAATTAAATAATAATAAATAAATAATACATGCATATGTCGAATAAAATAACGTGGGCAAATTCCATGCAAGATGAAATACATGGAAAAAATGAAAAAAATGATCTAACTGAGATTTGGACCCGAAACCTTCATGTTATCAGACTTGTATTTTATCACTTTCCTACGAGATTTGAAAAATTTTAAATATTCAATCATACTCAAAATTTCCTAATAATAGCGATGAATATAAAATTTACCATATATATATATATATATATATATAGTAAATTTTATATTATAAATTTATATATATATATATATATAACTTTTATACGAGATATAACTGCAATTGTATTGTTTGTTGATAAATAAATATACATAGTTACATTGATATCGTACACATATACGTTCATATTTTATTTATAAAAGCAATATCCTCATGGACTTCCAATATAGAATTTACATTATCGTTACTTTTAGATTCTTTTTTGATGCTTTTCCTTTTTCTTGTTTTTTTATAAGTAATTGTTATTTCTTTACAATCAATTTTATCTGTATTATATGATTTTCATGTTTTTATTCATTTTTTAATGATTATTTTGCTACAATTCTTATTCGTCAGTATCCTCAGTTCATTCATCAGTTGGTTACAGTACAAACATGAAATTGTAATTAATACATTTATTCTCACTCGTTTTCCAACCGTCGCTATGAAAATATCAAATTTATCAGATGTCAGATTAAGAAAGACTATTACGGCGAATTTATTCATTAAATACTAAGGTAGACACTAACTTTAGTATATCTAACGTTAGAAATATATAGTGGCCGACTTTTATTAGGATAGAATTAAGGATGTCAGTGAGTCTTTCTCTTGGCGTACTCGGTGTATGTGGCTGCGTCACGCATGACGTTCTCAACGAAAACCTTGAGGACACCATGGGTTTGTTCGTAGATCAAGCTAAATATGCGCTTAACTCGGCCTCGACGAGCCAGGCGATGAATAGCGGGCTTAGTAATGCCCTAGATGTTATCACGCAATACTTTTGCAATGACGTTTGGCTTCTCCTTTTCCTAAATCTTTTTCTCCTTTACCATAACCAGTCATTTTGAAATTAGTAGAAAGTTCCCGAGCAACTGCGAACAACACGCAATAAGTTATTTTTTTACTGACTATAAAACCTCTTCAGTGGATACCAACCTTCGGGTTATAAACCAATAGAAAAAGAGCAAGAATCGGGAGAGCCATCACAAGGGGACCTTGTCCGTCGGTTTGCTGGCGTAGGATGCCAAGCAGTTGATTGAGGGATTAGTGTGGGCAGAGACCGAGCTCCTAAGATTAGTCGCATATTTAACCGTGGCTTCTTGGATAAAGGGAAGACCGGATTCTTTTAGAATTAGGACGTTCCCGACGTACCAAGGGATATTTAGAGAACCACGGAGGAGTTTCACGTATGCCCTTCCTAGTTTTTCGAGCGCATTAGCAGCGCCCAAAACGGTGCCGACACTTCTGATGATAGCATTGAAAGCGCGAACCTTTGTTTGCCGAGAGATGGTTTTATTATTGAAGAACGGTTTGAGGGAGAAAATGGCTCCATTTGCTTTATTTCGAATGGATTAATATTGTTTGTTCCAGCTGAGTCTTCGATTAAATACCGCGCCCAAGTATTTGGCAAAAGTACTCCACTGTATTTTAGGATGGTCTACTATGAAGTTGTCGATTTAGTTTCGTTGTGGTTGAAGCCCTATGTATGATACCATCTGAGTACTGTAGGAATAAACTTATTCATAATAGAAGAGCAATGGGTTATAGTTTTAGAGGAGTATAAGGAGGCAGTATCATCAGCAAAGTGGGCTGTAATGATATTGTCCTGGAAAGGAATATAGGTAGTAGATATTGAATAGGGAGGGAGAAATGTTGTTGGAGCCTTGAGGCACAGTTTGTTGCGGTTGTCCGCGATGAATTCCGACACTCTGAGAAGTCGATGGCAAGTGCCATGGAAGTGACGAAAACCGTGCTGGAAGTCAGAAAGGAGATTTTCGCTAGTGATGAAATTGTTTAGACGAGTGAGGACAACGTTTTCAGCTACCTTGCTGAGCGTGCTTAACAATAGGTAATCGGTCTGCAGCTGGAAACTTGAGTGAGTGGTTTCCCGGCTCCTTAGGGAGACAGACGATTGTTGCCTTTTTCCAAGCCTTGAAGAAATACTGTAATTATCATCGCATCATTACATTTACGATGTTGCAAATAGTTTTGATAGCAATCTCTCTGGGAGATGTTGACTGGTTGGGAGGGTTCGAGCGGTTGATGTTATGTACCGCTTTAGTGACATTGTCAAGGAAACTTTTCTGAGGTCGGGAAGGAGGACCACTGCTCTCCGATAGACTCAGCGAAGATGTTTGCTTTGTCCTCTTCGGACGAATAGGAAATTCCTTCTTTTGTGAGGGAAGAACAGTGTGGTTGTCTATTGCGAAGCGACTTAATCGCTTTCCAGAAACTTTTATGGGGTTTAGTGCAAAATGCGCAAGTCCGCGGGGCATAACAATAATTGGCTGTATACCGGAATTGAAGGCAACAACGACATTGAGGAACGACGTTGGACTTGCACTTGCGTTTACCTTTGACATTAATGCCGCCAAGGTCGAGAACAGTTTCGGCAGCAGGAGGTTCTTTGGAGATGAACGTGGACGAGGGGCCAGATTTTTTCACCGTTACGCATGCGTTGGACTGACTTGACGGGAAGCTTTTCGAGCAGAAACTCGGCTTTGATGTCATCTTCCAAGTGACATTCAAAGACACTACAAATAACGACCTCGAGGTCGCGGTCCTGGCGCACCATAATGTCGAGTGGAGTACTTCTGTCAAATACTTAGGCGTGATGTTTGACCGAAAACTCAACTGGAACAAACAAATTCAATCCGTTCGAAATAAAGCAAATGGAGCCATTCCCTCCCTCAAACCGTTCTTTGATAATAAAACCATCTTTCGGCAAACAAAAGTTCGAGTTTTCAATACTGTCATCAGAAGTATCAGTACTTATGCTATTCCCGTTTTCGGCGCTGCTAATGCGCTCGAAAAACTAGGAAGGACATACGTGAAACTCCTCCGTGGTTCTCTAAATATCCCTTGGTACATGAAAGAAACCGGTTTTTCCTCCATTCAAGAAACCGCCGTTAAATATGTGACTAATTATAGGAGCTCTGTCTCTGCCCACACTAATCCCTTAATCAACTGCTTGGCATCCTACGCTAGCAAGCCGACGGACAAGGTCCCCCCACACCATGTTCGCTCGTCCCACGCAACCCATAACCGTCTTGAGCTTCGCTCTAGCGTTTAGACCTATCAGTTCTCCGCTGGTTGCCCTCCAAATTCTCGCTGTTTTTCTAATGATTTATAACCCGAAGATTAGTAACCACCGAGGAGGTTCTTTAGTTGGTAAAAATTCAACACTACCCATTTCCATCTTTAAGGGTCTTTTCGAAGATTTTTCCTCCTCGCCGTCTCAAAAAAAATTTTTTTTTAAACTGGGCTCTCCTCCCTCCGATGGCCACTGCCCTTTACGCCTCTAACCGTCGAGAATCAGTAAAATCTCACCCTAACCATTCCATCAATTGCGTAGCCGAATGCGAAAGCAAGCCGCAGGAATAAGTCCTAAGACCTTGTTCCTTAATCCCACGCCTTAAATTCACCCTTTGACGTCCATAATTTGGTCACTTAGTGCACAACACCCTTACCCCAAGGTCCCAATTTCTCCATCTTTTTTCTCAAGATTTAGAACCTCCAAGGTGGTAACTTCGAGGAGGGGTTTAGTTGGTAGGTATTTCAGAACGTCGAAATGAATCCAACATTATCCAACATTGGACGTCATTGGACATCTTCGGAAAATTCCCCCTCCTCGTCCATAAAAGAAAAAGAAAATTGTTTGAAACTGACGTTTAGTTCGTCGAATATAAGAATTCATATAGATCTCGCTATAGCTCGTACTATGCAAACAACTCGCGACGAAGGCTGCACGCAAAAGTTCTCCAGCATCCGGCGGCGTGAAGAAATCCATAGCTACAGGCCAGGGAATCGTCGCTCTTTGTGAAATCTGTTGTTACCAAAAGAGCACGAGGCTTCTTATTCGCAAACTGCCTTTCCAGCGCTTGGTTTGTGAGATCGCTCAAGACTTCAAAATTGACCTCCGTTTTCAGAGTTCGGCTGTAATAACTTTGCAAAAAGTCAGCGAAGCGTATCTTGGCCTTTCTGAAGACACTAACTTTTACGCCATTGATGTCAAACGCGTTACCATCATTCCTAAAGACATCCAATTGACTAGACGCATTCATGGCGAGCATACTTAATTTCTATTCTTTTTTCCTTATCTATATTAATCGGTTCTTTTCAGAACTACCAAATTACTTTAGGATTGAATATACTACTGTTATTCGATAACTCAATAAATTTATTCTTAAAATAATCGCTCAATATCAATTAACTTTTTCATTTATTCAAAATGTCTTAAGATGTGCTACATATTACATAGTACATTATAACATGACAAGAAAACCATATAATATTTGACATAGGTAACATTAGCTACCTTCTCTAAATGTCAAAACCCCTATAATCTTCTTTAATAACTTGTTTGCAATATTAATAGTTGCATGGATTTTATTTCGTAATTTTTGATCCATTTATGTTACATATGTGTAAGGTAGACAGAAATTATTTATTAAATGACATACTCCTGTATTCTTATCCTATGTAAATTTATAACTATTTAATAGATATCTATCCATTGTACAAAATTAAATAAGGTTTGTTTAAAAACAATGAAATAGGATGAGGATAATGACAGGGTAAATAAACAACTCGCGATAAATGTTGGGACTTAAATTGTTTAATAATGAAGTCTTTGTACAGAAAACAATAGAAACGGACATAAATCATTGCAAATAACCATCATATAATTAGCTTTTGATGTGTAGTGCTAGTGCTACTATTATACGCTTGATAGTTGCTAGATTTAGGTTTTTGTTTATCCTTAGCGTGTCTGAGTAATTTATTTATTTTTGAGAGTGTATGCAGTTACTTTACTTCGTATATCTATTGCATTGCTCTTAAAACTTAATATATGCTCGCGTACATCAAAAACAAAAAACAGAACATGTCTTTCTATGTAAGATATTTAGAGCTTCGTGCGGTCATGAAGAACAATTTTTTTCTTTTCTTCTCTCATGAAAATGATTCGTCCGTTGACGAAATTACGATGTTCATTCTCCTCGCGTCAATGTTATCGTGAACTCATGTCCCTGTCGTTAAGAATCTTCGCCTACTACAGCGACTTATTTACCCAACGTTTTTTTCTTAATTATTTAATAATCAATAACTATGCTCGCCAGTCGTAATTATCGATTGGAGGCTCCACGTAAGCTGTACAAATTCGCTCGCTGGGATTTCTTGTTGATTTCTTGTTTTCACCGCTGAAGTTGTTTTTGAAACTTTTTTTTTGTTTAATGAAAATCCAATGTGGCAATTTTATGAGAAATTTTTACTGATTGAAAAAAAACCAGTAGCCACGTGGGGCGTTCGAGCGAGTTTGTGACACTTTACATGCGAATATAATATATTTATACTTCTTTATGTAATAATAATATTTATATATCGTGCTTTATCTTAATATACCACAAATCATTATTGGTATATAATACAGTATCGACTATAATTTGTTGTACGTCTTAATCTAGTTATCTATCAAATATTTCTTTTATGTATGTACAATAAGAACATGAAAAAGGAATAAGTTTTATGCAAAAATATTCATTATAATTAAAAGTAATAATAAAGTCAAGTAATGAAACGCACGAGTGAAAAAAACGCAACCGGCACGTAAAAGTTGTGACAATAAGATGTTTACATATATTTTTAATTTCATACACTGTTATTATTTAATCATAAAAACCAGTGCTACTTTGAAAACATCTATTTTACAAACTTTCACGTGACATTAATTTCTCGGCGTAATAACAAAAAGTAGACAATAAACTAAGAAACATACAAAAAAAATGATGCCGATAACATTTGAAAACTCATTTTGAAGCTCAGAATCGACCTGCATGATTAAATAGAAATATTTAAGTCGCGCAAATAGAAAATGCGAAATTTTATTTGTTATATTGTGCCAGTAAACATGTAACATATGTAACTCGTCGGAAGTAGTCATTTTGTACGTAATATTTGAAATAATACCCCAATTTTTCGGGAAGGACTGTTTAATTCGGATTAAAATTTTGCAATTTTATATACGATCTACAAGATACAATATACTGATTCGATTCTTTTACTATCGCAATTACATAAAAACAACTACTTCCACTATTTCACAAGTATTATTTATTAACGAAATGGAAATTGTAATTCATACAAACAAAAATGAAGTTATTGGCACTCAGGAACTGGCAACAAAATAATCAGATCGACCAATAAAAATTATAAAATTATAATTATTCATAATAGTAGTAATAAAAAACAAAATAAAAATATTAAAAGTATTTTTTAGTCGGCACATTCAGCATACACAATAAATCATCTTATGCACGCTGTTGTAATACCCTTATCATGAAAAAATAAAAAGATTTTCGAAAGAGAGAGACAGATAGTGATGAGCAATAACACAACCTTACCAAGTAAATAGATTTCTATTAATTGAAAAAGGTATACAATGGAATAGGACAAGGGACACAGGGAGAAGTGCATATAAGGATGTGTAATTGTATTAGGCATCACTCCGACTGCCTAATTATTATTTATTTTACACGACGATCAATTATGTTTATTGTATATATATTTATATAACTATTCACGTATATTTATAATAGCCCCCGATCAGAGCCACCATAGGAGCGGCAAAAGCAGTCAGGAACATATACTATCGATCGGCCCCGCAATTCGATTATCTTCGTAATCATTATCTTTGTGTCATACTGTCAATCTTCCGTTTCCGTGTTTTTTTTCTCTCTCTCTTTCGCTTTTTTAACATTCATTGCCGCGGTATGTCAAGAACATATCTACTTCAATATCCTTCAACGCAAATTTTATTTGACGTTACATAAAATATTCATTGGTTGTCGAAAGTACTTTCCGAACAAATAAATATTTCTGACTCAATCAACCGTAACAAATTTTAAAAAATAATGAGCAAGAATCATTGGAGTAGACACGTTCGCAAGTAAACAAGTTTCTTTTTTGCGTATATACAGACGCATGCTCCGTAACACGATACAACTATTTAACTGATCAGTTTTATAACATTTGATTAGCAATTGATGTTTGTCATTAGTCGAGTAGTACAATGAATACGTCGCGAAATTCGTACTCTTACATTTCGTTATCTATCTCATAAAAATGTACGACAAAAACAACAATGTCTAGAGCTTCACCGGTTTTTGCCGTTCTCTATCCATCTGGAAAAAAGTTACAAAGAGTTATGTATTCGTATATTGAGTACGCCTGTGTATTTGTTTGCTTTTATCTTATTTACATGCAAGTTGTTTTGTATCTTCACGCTACAATTATTTATCCATCAATTTTAATTATCGCTTATCAAATGATTTTATACTTGAAAGTATCTACCTTATCCGTTGCTTTGCACTTTCAAAATCAATAATAGAAGCGCCGTACGACTTTGTTTTTCTTTACTTGCAATCCTCATGAAACAATATAATAAATAGACAAGAAATACATCAACGTGAAAAATAAACTATTGGCTTAATGTTAATACAATCGATTTTCTCTCTTTTCCGTTGAATTTTTGTCATTAATATTTTGATCTCTCTTCCGTAATATTTTTTTGCGTCGTTCATTGGCTTTCACATACATCGCGATTTCTTTTATTCGAAGAAGAGACGAACGAAGAAGAGGCTTTGTGATTGCGCCCCGCGTTCACGATTCAATTCAGTCCAGGGCTCAAAGTTTAGATTACGTTAACAAAGAAGAAAAAAAAAGAAAGAAAAGAAAAAAAGCAAGAAAATCAATCTCTTCGTTCCTCTTCGTCGTCTTGCGCTATGTACACACCAAATAAGACTTATTTCGTTATCTCAGTCGTCGACAGACTTCCTTCGATTTGTCGAAAATCCAACGCATATGGGTCTGTATAGTATGTTTATTCTTCATTATAATCTACGTCTTGTTTTCTTTCCATTCTCTTTACTTCACTGTCGAGAAGTTCTGCTGGGGGTTTTGATTTGTTGGAACCCAGGTATGGAATACATCCCTGCGATAACATAAAGTCGTTGATTAGTTACAGCCCTAAAGTAGTTTAAATATGTTCGAAAGCTAATGAACCGTCACGCTTACCTGCAATGACTGACCACGCACTCATTGCTGCAATACTCATCCTCCCACTCAGTGTTTGAGATGGCAGGGTTGATACAGCCCTGACGAATACACTGGTTAGGTGGCTGTTGTTGCTGCTGTTGTTGCTGCTGGGTGATTGAAGCAGAGTTGACCTGTGAACCATTCACATGCTGAGGCGGCGGACTTGATAGAGTCTCGTTTACCCTTGGGGGGCTCATGTGCAGGATCTGTTGCTGCTGTTGCATCTGCACTTGCTGTTGTGGTACCTGGTTTGTGGAAAAACAATACGAGTGTTACGTTAAAGAAGTGCTGGTTTTCAAGTTTTTTCATTGTTAAGCCTTTGCTTGGGAGTTGCGTCGGAAAGAAATTTATTTAGACCCCGTGCTAACATGAACTCGCACACATTGCTGGTGCACTTAATAGGGAGAGTGAGTCATGCGCACTTTTATTGATGTAAATACATCATGCGCTACAAGAAGCTCTCATTGAAATTCCAAACGTAAAATTATAGGCGTTGCGCTTGATTTTAAAATCGTCCGTCAAAAATTCTTTTGGCTTTGAAAGAATCGACAATGGATATCTATGTTATCTATGATATCTATGGGGCGCGGTGATGAGCGCTACTACAACACGGCATCCTTTCAAATGCAATATAATAGAAATGATGAAAGCTGATTTATTCTCGATAGCTTTATACATTCCAGTTGAAGCTGAAGAACATTCGTGTTCTCACATTAATGCTAATGGATGCACGTACTCTCCAGAAAGAGCCGTTTTTTCTTTCTTTTCCATTATTACCATTTCAATCAAGAAAACGCGAAAGTCGTTTAACGCTTAAAGCCCCGCTATATACGCGCGCGCGTTATTAAATTTCATTTTCAAGAAAATAACAGTTAAGAAGACGAGGTAGCCTCTTAACGCTTCAAAAGCAAGAAACGTTGTATTAAGCACATACCGATTATCGACTGTTATTCAAACTCTCGCTCGCTCGTTTCTTTCTCTCGTGTAAACGTACGCGGGAAGAAGAACGAGAGAGAGAAAACGACGACGGCGAAGAAACTTTAACATAAGTCTTGCCGTGAAACGACTGAACGTTCGTGGAAAGATCGAAGTGCGAGAAATTGGCCTTTGAAATTAGACGTTAGAGAGAAAAATGCCAGACTCGCAACAACAACAAAAAAAAGGAAAATAATAAATGAGAAGGGGAGAGGGAATGAAGTATTTGAAAGAGCGTAACAAAATGAAAAGGAACATGTAGTATATAGAGAAGAAGCCGGGGAGATCGAATGCATAATGCGAGAGAGACCGTGTACTGGAAATATAATGTGTCGGAGCCCGTAATTTGATCCAATCTTCCCGTTAATTTGCAGAATGCTCGTTTAGTTTGCCTTTTTCTTCCTCTTTCCCCTTCTCTCTCTCTCTCTCTCTCTCTCTCTCTCTCTCTCTCTCTCTCTTTCTGCGTGCCTTTTATTCCTTTTCTATTATGTACTCTCGTGCATACGCGCGTAGTTTCTTCGTTTTATAATCTACAGGATATATAATTTATGCATTGTGCACGTTAAATTCGAGACGCTTTCAATTTATGAGAGCACAGTGAAAAAAAAGCAACGACACTTTGTAAATTGTCCATTAGCTCTTCGTTTTTTGTCTCTGCGAACGGGTAATTTCAGCCACAAAAAAAAAAAAAAGAAAAAAGAAAAAAAAATTTACACAGAGCTGCACGTAAAGCGTGGAAGATGGAAAAAAGCATAAAATCAGGTAAAAAGAAAAAGGACGATGTAGTCGGACTTGTCTTTTATTTTGAAAAGAAGATAAGCGCGGACAAAAGGCCGTTCACGCATGCGCGACTATGGCTAAGGTCGCAGCTATTGTGTACACGAAAGGATAAACTTCCCGTGATGTGTGTATATATGTGTGTTTGTGTGTGTGAGAGAGTTCACTGACCTGCTGCATATACTGCTGCTGCGGGACTTGCTGCTGCATGTGTTGCTGCGTCATGTGAGGAGGCGGTGCCATTGGATTGCCCATTAGACTCTGGAAATTCCAAATGTTTTATTATGTTTGCCTGTCTCCCTCTCTGCCCGTTCCCCTCTCTCTCTCTGTCTCTCTCGCTCTTTTTCTTCCTCTCTCGACATACACGCGAAGAAAAACAACTCTATATTTTCCCAAGCTATACCAATTCAATTTCTCTTCGATCTATCGTAATCACCTTGGAATTTCGGTGTTTACACGATCGTTCGTTATTTCTTTTTGGAAAAAGGGAGACACATGAATCTTTGAAACGTCTCTTAAGATGTAAATGAGGGCAGTTTATTTTTTTCGATAGTTTAAAGTGGAAAGCTTGTTTTTTGAAAGATTACAAGCTGCATAATATTGTACTTTTCATTTCCGACGTTAAACGATCGTATTTTTATTTGAAAACACTAGCCGTACAGCGCTTTTACCGGTAGAAGCTTGTAATAAAACTTTGAAAAATTATCTCGATACAGATAAGAATTTTTACATGACTTGCGCTTTTTTTACGATTGTACGTTCTGCTTCGAATCTATAATAACATTTCAAGATAATTCACGTCACAATGACTGGCCGTTTCTTTTCTGTTTTAACGTACAGAATAAGAAGTTTATGAAAACATCGTTGCGCACTGTACCATAAAACTTATATTGGCAGTACAACTGCGAAGAAATAAAAGGATGTATAGATTGGATGGAATGAAGCCGGAGTGATATTACATCGGAATCGATGATGAATTTCAATGATTACATCAGCCCCAGAGAAAAGCTTATCAATTTTCATTAAAATTCGATTCGGGCTTTTAATAGAAACTAAATCAAGGGCGATTCCATTAGGGAATTCAATTAAATTTTAATTAACGTTTGAAAATAGTCGCCGTCATTGGCGCGACCGCGTTGTTTGAAATTCATTGGCTGAAATTAATCGGCTAATTCGCGAGCATGTTTTAAAATTAGCTCCGATTATGATTCGCCCCAAAAACTCTAACGAACAATATACATCCCGCGCTTTAATTGCTCGCGCAATGGCGAGTAATGAATATTCAAACAAGCTCTGTCGGATTACGCGCGGGGGAGGGCAGGGCCTGCGCATTTATATAATTAAATTGATATTGTTAGTACGCGCGCGCGAGAGAGAGAGAGAGAGAGAGAGAGCGCCAAGGTACAATAATACTTCATTGACATTAATTCGGTTACTGCGAGTTTGCGCAATACACTCAACTGCAGGATATAAGCCGTTCGTACAAGCTTTACCTCTCTCGTGATTTTCATTTTCCTTTGATAAACTTCTCGGTAAATTACTATTTACACGTGCTAATTGGCAATTCAATCCACTACGCCCTTACAATCTATTTCGTAGCAAAATAACTACTATAATTACGTCGAGGTACTCTCTCTCGCTCGCTCTCTCTCTCTCTCTCTCTCTCTCTCTCTCTCTCTCTCTCTCTCGCTCTCTTGTACTAATTTATATAAGCTTCGTATAGCTCGACGCTCTGTATATTCCTCTTGCAAAATTAATAATCCACGAGAGCTTTTCTTTTTCTCTTTCATTTCAAAAATTGGGATATTAAAAGACGGGGAATTGCAACTTCATGTAATTCATACTATTTCCCCAACTCAAGGATATTGGCATCCGTAATAAGTGTCATTACGCGAAATTCATCTATACATGTGCGGTGAATTGCAAACGTGTATACCTAAGCTTTTGCCTTCTTCGCGTGCGCAAGAGAGAGAGCTCTGTTATTACACCGAAAAAAACATGACACCGAGATTCCCTGTCATTAAAAAAGATTGTGCGGTTTACATAAGTGACTACGATTTCTCTCTCTCTCTCTCTCTCTCTCTCTCTTTCCCTTCGCTTTTCGACAATGAATACTGCGCGTATTTACGATTGGAGTTCTTGCTGTTCATCTCCATTCCCTCGCAAACAAGTATGCTACGCTTTAAGTACCTGCTGATGCTGAGCCGGCTGCATGTGCGAGCTGGGCGACAGATGATGCGGCGACTTTTTGATCTGCTGCTGTGGCGACGGTGGCTGGGGACTGTAAACTTGATAAGCGGGCGCTCCGCTTGCCGTAGCGTAGGGTGGCCCGTAACCAGCGTACTGAACCTGCTGCTGCTGCTGCTGTTGCTGCTGCTGTTGCTGCTGTTGCTGCTGCTGTTGTTGCTGCTGTTGCTGTTGCTGCTGTTGCTGCTGTTGCTGCTGCTGCTGCTGCTGTTGTTGAGCTGCAACCGCTGCCGCTGTGGCTGCCTGATGCTGCTCCTCACTGCCCTTCTGGACGAGGGAGGCTCGGTAGGCTGCCAGCGCCTTCAGGTACTCCTTCTTCGCGGCCTCGGTTTTCTTCTTGTACACCTGCGAATTCGACAACAAATGGCTTTTAGTTTGTTATTCGCAGAGCAACGCATGCCTCTATTGACGGCAGTGCAAGCAAGCGCTGCGGACGTGACGCGCATTCGTCAGACGGTCCGCTTTACGATTCAACTTCGGATATCAACTCGCATTTTTCATACTGAAAGCTCGGGGCGTGGGAATCGCATTTTTCTCGAAAAATTTGTCCGTCCAATGCCGGCCCTCCCCTCTCTCTATCTCTCTCGCGCGCTTTGATTGCATGGCTCTCTTGCGCGCGAGAGAGTAGATGATTCAAGGGCTATGAATCAACGTGTATTACACGTCGTAAAAATTCGTCTGGCGACAGCCTCGTTACGAACATCGTTTCGCGATTGGACTCGCATGAAAACCGACGTACGAATTGAAATTAAAACGAGAAAAAGACAATTAAGCCGAGCAAGCGCAAAGCGCAAGTATCATTTCCTCCATCTTTCTATTTCCCTGTTTTCTCCCCGCGCGACCTCGACATCCCCATTTCTCCGACTTAGGCAAACACGTTTGTGAGCTCTTACCTCCCGCGCGCGATCGCCATTACTCACGACCGACAATTTCATTGGAGCGACGCGTGCTTGCGTAAGCGGGCAACGTTTATTGTTAAAATTCATAATTGAGGCGCGTGCGCGCGCCATCGTTGACCTCAAAAGTTAGCGGAGCGCGGCGAAAAATCGCCGAGAGAATCCTCGCGCGCGGAGAAGAAAACACAGCGACGAGCGAAAAAGAATCGCGAGAAATTAAGCGCACGCGCTTTTTGCACTCGAATGTCAATTCATTATGTTTCTCCTCTATTGTGCAACTGGCTTTTTTTCCCCCTTTCTTTCTTTATCTTCTTGTTTCAAAAGCTGCAGTCGCGATTAAAAAGTTATTCGCTCGCTTTAATTGCACCTCTCCCGATAATTTACTCGTGCGGGGTTAAACAAGTTTTTAATGAAACCACAACAAAGCGAGGAAACGCGCAAAAGTCCAAAGCGCCGATGAGTGGAGAAAAAGAATTGTAACGCGGTTTCATTCGAGCGAAATAATAATAATTTTTAATGTAAAGTTTCGTTTCGCACGGCCTCCACCTCCTTTCCACGCTTTTAATCAAAAGCGCAAATTAACGCTATTATTCGAGTGACATTTTCATCAAGGCGCGCAAACTTGACGTTTAAAGAAAGAGCGGACAAACAATTTTTCCGAACAATCGCGGAGGGAAAATTAATTTCACTTCGTCACAATACTGAGAGACAAAAGAGACTCTTGCCATGAAACGAGAGAGTTAAAAGAGAAAAGCTCGATTTGGCTCATCTTCTTACGCCATACGCGCAAAGTAAAATAACTCGCGAGCAAAACTCTACTCGAGGGTTATTCTCTTTTCTCGAAAATAAAGCGCAAGTCACTAAGAAAGTTGAACTTACTGCGAACGCTTCGTGTATATCGCGAAAAAGCACATTTCGTTGCCGAACGCGACATTTTGTTTTTGCAACGGTGAAAGTTTGCGTGCTCCTCGACGAAATTTCACTTTTATATTATGATAAATATTTGTGCAACGACGTGACGACTACAACGACAGCTTTCATTTTCTTCTCTCCGCGAAACCTATCTCTGCCGTTTTTTTTTTATTTTATTTTTACGGCTGAGCGCGGATCGTGCAGTATTGATCGCGTTTTAGGCGATGCCAGCTCGAAAAGCCGTGAGCGACAGACCGAATCCTTACAAAGTACATATGAGAAATCAAGTTCATTCGAAAACGGAGTACACACGTGCGTGCACGCGTAAAGGCAGCTGTCTAATTCTCATTGGTTGTTGTTTACGCGTCGGATCGAACGTGTGAAAGTTATTCTACGAATCGGAAGTAGCTCTTGCTTCGAAGAGGTAAAAACTTGGCTGGCAGGAGATGGAAAAAAAGACAAGGGAAAGAGATCGATTAAGCGATGACTGGAGTTTTCGCAAGTATACATCAGAGACGGATTTAAATTGCAAATGGTACTTTAATTACGCCGGCCAGGGTATTACCGTATGAGATAAAGAGAAGGGGGGGGGGGGTGGATAGAAGGAAAAAAGGGGAGCGCATTGCGCTATTACTTTTGAAATAATCATAAATTGCTCGCGGGGAATTACAATGAATGAGCTAATTACCAGTGGGAAAAGAAAGAGAAAGAGACACGGATAATCACTTAAAATTGGATATGCTCTGCTCGCGAAGCCTTTTAAGTACTTTTTGCTCGCTCGAAGAACGAGCTACGTGTTCTTCGTCTTCGTCCTCTTTTTTTTCCTACTTGGCTTGTCTTTTTCTCTTTCTCCCGCGAAGCTCAATTTTTCAAAGTTGGCAAACTTTATTTTAATGTAATTGGAAAGAAACGAAACGAACGAATTATTATTGTATTATCCATGAACGCGAGACAAGTAGCAAGGTCACTCCACGCTGGATATCTTATTCCAGCGTTGTCGTTGCTCGACAAAGCTGCAACTTGCAGCATTTCTTAAAGCTCTTTTTAATTAAAGCGCCAACAGTTTTTCAGTGAGACATTTCACGTGTCAGCGAGGAGAGAAAAAACCCAGCAGCCGGAATAGCGACAAGAGCGTAACGCAATATTCATGAGAACGCTAGCGACTCGAGATGTGTACACTTGTCAAGCACGCGGGGGTGATCTGCGTATATAGAAAAGATAATATTAAAAGAGTGCCCCGCGGCGTTCATCGACACCAGATGTTTTAGCCGGAATTTCTTCTTCTTCTTGTTCGCCCGCGGCAGATGGGACACGTTCACGCGTGCGTTTTCTCGGCGCGCGGAGGTTGCGCGGTCGATCGACGATTTCTCATTCGTAGAGCACGAATCGCAGCTGATCCCACGCGCCGTCGTCAATCGAGCGGCCCTCGACCGCGATGTCGCGCGATCGGCAATCGAACGCGACGCACTCTCGTGACACGACTGTCCGTCGCGAAAGCGAGCTCGAGTAGATAAAACTGCCAAGGCTCGTCCGATTAAGTGGGCGCGTCGCCATTATTTCAGCTCGAGAAGCATCTCTCACTCTCTGGCACTTTGATCAAAATTCATGACCCGCAGCTGTCGGCCGGCTTCTTCCATTTTCCCAACTTATAAATAACTACTTTACAGGCTTGATCTCAGCTGAATGATGAATCTACGTGTCCCATTTTGAAATTAGAGACTTGATACATAATGTGCCTCCTTTGAAAAATACGCGTGAATGGATCGAAAAAGCCAGCAGTGCGGCGCACTTTTAATATCGGAAACGGACCGCGTGCACCAACGACAGTTTCATTTCTATGAAACTTGCAAATTGCTTTGGGTAAGAGCCGCGATTTAATCGTGCCACTAGATAAAGCTCTAACGGCTTCAGCGTTATCCCACCAAGTGAGGAATCCTTCAAAAAGAAGATAGGCGCGCTAAACCACCGACAGTCGGAAAAGGCGGCCGGAAATAGGCGAAAAAAAAAATGGAGAAAAAAAAGCAAGAAGAGTTGATTACGAGCGTCCGAATACAATATCGGATCTAATTAGCGATAGCGCTAATAATGCCGACTTATCAAAGGGGAAGGGGGTTGCCGAGAGAGTAGCCGATAAGCGAGCGGCTATTTACATAATAACGCTTTGCCGAATGCCGATAGCAGACACACATGCGCGTTTGTGCGTACGTATGTGTAGCATTTCCTTTCCCTTCTCACACGCGCACACACACAGGCACACGCGCGCGCGCGCGCACATGTCTACATATACCTATGTGTAATAGTGATTGATGTGTTCTTTGCCGGAAGTCTCAAACAAGTCAGGAGTATTTTAATTAAACGACCGACGGATTCTCAACTTTATTCAAACTTTTCTCAACTTCAAATTAGGATTGGAAAGGTTGGAAAGGGAGAGTAGATTCTTTGGGGCTATCGACTGAATAAAACTTAATTAAACATTTTCTTCTCGCGCTATCTGCCTCTGCAAAAATTAATCAGATCTGCTATCGGACATTTTATCCGACGATTGGGAGTAAAATTGAAGCTGAAATCCCGTTAGGCGAGTGGATCTTTTTCTTTTTGATTAAAAACAAACGAATCTTGTGATCTATACTGATGCATTAATGGACAATGCGCGATATTTTCGCTCGTTCTTTTCAGTTTAATTAGAAATCTCCGAGAGATCGAAGCCGAATTACTTTAATAAGAGATTTAAATGTGAAAGGCTTTAATCGAAAAGTTATATACGCGACGATAAAATCGGCTTAATGGCCTTGGTACGTTATGAAACTTAATTAAATAGATAATCTCGCGGAGAAGTAAAAAAAAAAGATAGAAACGAGAGCACGGCTATTGCCACTGAACAAAGAAAAAAGATTGCTCGGTACTTATTTTAATTATCGAGTGATGCTGTTTCGAGAATAGAGTCGTGTGTGTATGTGTGCATGTGCGAGCGAAGGCTGAGAAAAAACTTACGAAAAATGCTCGCGCGAAGCCGTTCTAGTTTCTTCCTCTGTTTCGCTTCGCCGTTGTTTTTAGTTTCTTTGCAGTCGAGTTGCGACCGTATTGAAAGGCTCTTTAATAAGGTCCTCGATACACGCGAGGGATTACATGACAATCTCTTTCCATTCGGAGAGAGACGGGAAACGCGCCAATTTTAACGGTCGACCGCAAGGGACACAAAGAGAGAGGGAGAGACAAAATTCACTGAATTTTCATAAATTTCAATAGCGCATCCCGTCGCTTGAGACTAAGTACGTTGCTGCAATGAGTGTCGCGTGGAATTACATTTATTGCCCTCTACGTCGCGCGTGAATTATGGTGACAATACTAGTACGCGCGAAGGCAGTAAGAGAGAGGGAGAGCATTTTGCTACGCGAGCGAAACATTAAGTTAACGCGTGACGCTAATTATCGACGGTATACGAGTTACATGCTTTTTATCGTGTGTAATAACGCGACTCTCCGCGCGGAGCGAGGAAAAAAAACGAGTGGACGAGGGAAAAGCGTTAAATTCAAACGCTGATAAGTTTTGAGTGACGATCGAAAATTTACGGCTCTCTCTCTCTCTCTCTCTCTCTCTCTCTCGCGTGCGCGTCGTGGTAATACATTTATCGACGAGAGAGAGATTTGCGGTTGACGCTACTGATTAATGCGTTTTGCAACGTTTACATTCCACGCGCGCGCGAGCACTATCTCGAAATAGGACGTTGTCAATTATGAGGGAAAAAAAGTTTGTTTTGTTGAGGACGACAATGGCACTTTGCGATCGATTCGTGGGGGGGGGGGGGGGGGGGGGAAATATGAGCTTTTCATCTTAGCCACGGAGAGAGAGGCTTTCTTCTCTCTCTCTCTCTCTCTCTCTCTCTCTCTCTCTCTCTCTCTCTCTCTCTCTCTCTCTCTCTTTCTAACTCGCAATCGCGATGAATGATTGATTGCCATCAATAGGGTTCGTTCATTCAGCGAGGCTGATTCTTTTCTTCTTTGGCCCTTGCTTTCACGCTACTCATCAAAGATTAAAGGACTCTTTGGACTGACAATACAATAGCCCGTGTGCGAGAGTCTCTCTTTATGTGAGTACGTGTGTATATGTCTAACGCCTCGGGAGAAAAAAAGGGCGGAGAGAGGAAGAAGAAGATGATGATGAAAAAAAGAACCTCCTCAGTGAATGCCCTTCGTTAAAGTTGTTGAAAAGAGTTTTGGTTCTTGTGTGCGTGTATGTGTGGACGTGTGCGCGCGCGCGCGCGCACACGCGCGTGTGTGTACTTACGTCCTTGTGCTCGGTATCGAGGGCGTCCCACATCGAAGCCACGATCTTCGAGACCTCGCCGAAACTCGCGTTCGAGTTTTGACTCTTGATGGCCGCCTGTGTGTCTCGGAAGAACAGCGCGTATGCCGATACTGGCCTGGAAAAAAAAAAAGAATACAAGTTAGAATTTGCGATGCTGCACTACTCCCAACTAATTAACTAGCGTGCTCGCGGAGCTGCAGCAACACTCCAATTTAAAAAGCAGAAGAAGAAACATACACATACAACGTAATTGCAATTACAGGAGACTCTGCATTGAGCGTAATTTTTTAAAAATAACCCGGCTTAATTAAAATGCTCTATCTCTATCTCTCTCTCTCTCTCTCTCTCTCTCTCTCTCTCTCTCTCTCTCTCTCTCTCTCTCTCTCTCTCTCTCTCTCTCTCTCTCTCTCTCTCTCTCTCTCTCTCGAAAAAGTTTCAAATCGTTATTTTCGTTCGAGAATCAAGGCCCCATTCAAATCCTAAACACAATTATACTCGCGCGAGCGCGCCGCCTCGGCCAAATGATATCGTTAAAACTTATAAAAACGTTCATTAAGCAACTTTAGAATATCGCAAATGAAAAAGTTGCTTTCTCTTCATGAGAGCGACGAGGGGCGAGCGGGGGAATAATAATCGCGCACTAATTATAAAAATATAAGAAGCTTTTAATTGAAGTCAAAGAAGAAAGAAAGAGAAAAAGAGAGAGAAAAAAAGCACTTTGTTGGATAGATTTTTACAGGGCCGGTCGTCTCTTTTGAGTGTCGCGCACGAGAGACGCTTTGTTTCCATTGCAAGCAGCGGAGGAGGGAGGGGGTTACATTCGCGTTTTCTTTGTGTCCCTCTTGTGTCTCACCCCACCTAATACCTACTACCCTCACTCGCGCTTTCTTCTCATTAAAGTAGCTCTCTAATTACGTTTAAACCATTTGACTCGACTCGCTTGAGATTTTGTCCTCTGCCTCTTCGTCGTCGTCGTCGTCGTCGTCGTCGTCGTCGTCGTCGTTGTGCAGGAAAACAACAACAAGGAATGACAACAAAAAAGCCAGTTCTTCGCTATCCGAGGGGAGCGGCGCACAACGGGGAGATACAGCAAACTATTGATCCAACTCAATCGCGAGAACTAATCGGATGGGATTAAAACTACTTGGGGGAAAATGCGATTTTACCTTGTGTAATTACATTTAACGATTGCCGCGGCCTTATTGGAAAACGCGATTGTGCTTCTCTTTGAAGACTAAATTTGCAAGATGGACGAATCCAATATCGAATATAAGAATATAAGCGGACGCCGCGGTGCTTCTAAAATTACCAAACTCGATAAGAGCAAAAATAGAAAAAGAGAAAGAGCTAATCGATGGCGTTTCAATCGTTCTCTCTGCCCGTGTTCTCTCTCCCGGGGGAGGGAATACAGTAATAACAGCACAGTCGAACAAGGAAAATGTATAACGAGACGAGACACGGAGATGAAGGAAGCACGGGAAATGGATTTACACGAGCGAGACGGGGAAACGTTGACATTGTATAGTTCGTAATGTTGATTCAGTACTTGTCTTCCTTCTCTCTCTCTCTCTCTCTCTCTCTCTCTCTCTCTCTCTCTCTCGCTCTCTCTATTTCTTTTATACTTTTTGTTTCGCGAGCATTTATTATACGCGAGCACAAAAGATTTGAATAATCAAAGAGAGCTTTTGAAATCGTTTAAAAGGTGAATTTTAATGGCTTCCAATCAACGTATTTCTTTCTTTTCGTTGTTTACGAGAGCTCCCCCCTCCCTTCCGATTCGTCAAGTAATGTTACGTTGCTTAATAATACACGCACTCGCATACAATTGCCATTTTTTTCCTTCTCCATCCCACTTTTGTAACGCGGTCACGAGCTGCCGTAGTTGTTATTTAAATTGAACACGATTGAATGTTATCTTATCCGAGAAATTCATCAATTACAATGAAATGAGACAGGCTCAATAAAAACTAATTAAACTCGATAAATCAGATCCTGCGAACGTATTGCTCGTGCAAATAAAAAGCAAACACACGTTACTAATCCCCGATGTATAAAGCACGCGCGTAATCCAACTCGGCAATGACAATGCGCGCGCGGTAGAGCAATGCAATCCTCCCTGCGGAGTAGCCTGCGTGGCTCACAGCAGCTGGACCATCGTCGTCGCGCACACCGTCGCGATAATAATGGTAATTGCCAATTCGCAGAACTAATAATTTACGACCAGCCACCCTCGCGCATCTTGTCCCGTCTCCTTTCGAAACTCTCTTTAGCTTCGGAAAAGTACTCTTAATTAAGCATGTGGTTGCGACAATTTTGCGCGAGAAACGAACGGCTTTTCCAGAAAACGCTCGTTGCTCAATACATCGCCGTAATTTTTCTCTTTCCGAGCGAGTTGAATAGTCAAGCTGATATAACGGTTTTTCAAACTGGCAAAGCTATGACTTAACGTTTGTTGAATTGTAGCACGATTGCTGTGTGTATGTCGTCACAATGGGCCCATTATACTGGAATGGCTTTCATAAATTTTCGCTCATTCAAAAAAAAGCCAATCACGAAGAGAGAGAGAGAGAGGGGGGGAGCAAAAAATGACAATTAATCTATATAAACGCGCCTCATTCGCGAATGGGTATAATTAGCCAATTATTTTAGAAAATGCCAAACAATTCGTAAATAGACCGAATATTCTCTGTTCTTAATTTTTTTTGCATTGGAAACTACGTACGAGTTGTACCGTAATAAAGACATAACTACCACGTAATGACAACGTTAACGTTCCGGAAACTTTTGTGAAACAAGTACTGCGTGGTTTGAAACTACTACTACTACCTACATTGTTGAATCAATTTTCTGATGATCGCTTACAATAGGCCATGATTTCATCAAATGCCAATCGCGAACGATAAAAGCCTATATCGGGCAGCCATTACTCATCCAGCCTTTTTACATAACATTAAGGAGAACTAATGCAGTAGAGTGCAGCCAATTTAGTTTGGAAAAAAAAGACCGACTGCGCGACTAATCCTACGCTATGGCCACTATCAGAAATTTCAAATTACACACAGAAAAAGGCCAACGAGACGCTGGACTCTTATAAATTACAAGTTGGCCTAACAACTAATTATCCCCGGTGAAATGAGCTTCGAGTATGAGGTGAGGGCAGAAGCGATTGAAATAATTTAGGCAGGCTGCTGCACATGGTTTCTTTGTTTTGGTGCTTACTTTGTGGGTTCATTCGGGTCCCGCTTCTTCTTCTTCTTCTGTGCCTTTGGTTTCTTTTGCGCCTTGCTCATCGTGTCGGCAGGCTCTGGCGATGGTCTCTTGATACCGGTTATCTGTAACAAACACACACGCACACAATGGCCCATTGAATAAATGTCTTTCTTCCTGTCGAAGTGTTGCAATTTTTAAGAAACTCGCTTTTAAGATGAAAACAAGAGAGAGAAAAACGAAAAGTAAAGATCCACGAGAGGCGCCGAAATATATATATAACGTACATCCGGACCATCGAATAGAAAACTAGTCACGAACGTGGCCTTGAGCTTTCGCGATATTCGTAAGAGCGCTTTTCGACATTTTTCATCAACGTCACATCTACGTGCTATGCAGATAAATAGTTTGATAGACGCGAAAAGCATCCTTGTGCTGCTGCGTCATCTCTCGCGAGCCTTTTTATCGACGTGCCGTTTACTTACGATGAGCAAAAAAGAGAGAACGCGTTTATTTGGCGCGTGAAATATGCAAAAAAAAGAAAACCAAATGTTATGTCGCGCTCTAGCTTTGACCTGCCGAACACGCAAATTGAATTTTTTTCGGAAAAAACGATAAAAATTTAACAAGACATTCTCATAAATGGAAATATCGTTGACGCCTTGATTTTGTTTAAACGACAAAATTAACTTGGTACTTTGAAAAACTCGTCATCGAGATGAAGCGAAGCGACCGAAGTCGCTGTTGTGCGAGAGATGAAAGGGATCTATTGCGAATAGAAGGCCTTTGATGCAGCACGAAACAAAGAATTTTTAATCAAGTGATTTGAAATAAAAATTGTCAAGTTGATTGGTTTGGCTGTCGTGTTGTGAATAGGAAAAGTGACGCTGTATCAGTTGCCCGAATGCCGATAACGGCAGCAAAAAGTAATCATTCACCTCGAGAAAAATTGAATTTCCACTTGATCGGAAATGCTGACGCGCGACATTATAAGAAAGAGACGAGCTGTTGACGATGAAAGAGCAAATAATAAAAATAGTGAAAGAAAAATAAAATCGATCCTCGAAGGTTCTCACCATCGCCGAATGTGGCGTGCTGTCGTCGCTGTCCTCGCTAGTGGTCGTGTGCTCGGGCACACCGGTCTGTTGCATCGCCGGTGGACTTCCGCCCGATGGGCTCCTGTACTGTATCGGCGGCGGCGGCGGCGCCTGCTGCTGTTGCTGCTGCTGCATGTGTTGCTGCTGCTGCGAGTGCAGGTATTGCATGTGTTGCATCTGTTGCTGCTGCTGCTGCTGCTGCTGCTGCTGCTGCTGCTGTATCAACAGCATTTGCTGCTGGCCGCTGTGCTGCTGACTCGCCGAGCTCATTGTCGTGTATGAGCTTTGGGGACTACTGTACGCTGAGCTGCAATTTCAAGAATCACGTCGGATGCGTTCGTAACGGCTGTCGCACGCGCGCGCTTCGCAAATCAAAAACTTTATGTCCATTAGCTTGCATTCGATTGAAATTTACCGAGCGCTCGGCTTAGCGTCGCAGGACCGGAGATCAGCCTAAAGCGCGCGCTCTGTATAGCCAAAATAAGAACGTTAACGAACTTAGCACACGTACATAATCAAAGGATGGGGATGTGTTTAAAGGAGAAACTGTTTTCGCAGCGCCGATAGATTCTGAGTTACCAAAGGCGCGGAAGGGGGCTTCGGCAAATATTTACGAATTCAACATTTCATCAAAATCTCGCGAGCGCGCACGCTCAACTAAGGAGTACTCGCTAAAATTCCAAATCGCAAAGGAAGATATTTACTCGTGCACCTTGCAACCTCTGCTAAAATGACTTGGGGGCAAGTTTTATTCGACGGAATGACATTAGCAAGCGCGAAAGGGAAACGAGGCTGTTGCCTTCGCTATAAAAACAACCTCGCATATGACTGTCCGGCTTGTTATATTTCGTATTTGAACAATAAACTGGTATCAAGGTTAGAAATACATCAATTGCTTTTTATGCTTGGAATTATGGCTTCCGCTCTGTCCTACATACACGGGCGCGCTCGCTCGAGCGAGTTACAAACTGCCACTTCTATATTGATTCCATTTACAGATAATTCACGAGGAATTCCGTCTCTCTCTCTCTCTCTCTCTCTCTCTCTCTCTCTCTCTTCTCGAAGGGCCTTCCTTTTTTCTGATCTACAATTATTTTTATTGCAATGGTGGAGGTTATTCTACGAAATCGGATGATGAAACGTCCATTACTAGCGACGAAACTTTAACGCGATTAATCAGTTTTATGGCAGCATTATTCAATCTAAAACCGTCAAGACACGTAATATAACCAACAAGGAAAAATTCAATCACGCGATGTTGAGTCACATTCTACATCATTGCTGCAGCTGCTGTCGCTGCTGCTCAAAATGGACATTAAAAAAACCTCACGACCAGTTGAATCAAACTAACGGATTTCAGTGTAAAACAAATAATTACAAGACAAGCAAAGCCGGAAATTTCCACGACGACGGCTTGAATAATTCATTTAGCTGACGGAGAGAGAGAGAGAGAGGGGGGAGGGGGGGGGGGGGGCGTTCGAACGACTGCTTTGGCAAGCGACAGAAAAACAAGACAACAAAGAAGCTTCATGGCAGTGCATTATGAAAATGGCAAGAAAGACGGTAAAAGAAGTTGCAATTAATCGCGTCGGAAGTAGCCGAAGAAAGAAGGACGCGAGAAGTCCCATGGAACAATTAAGATGCCACGGGAGCAAACAAAAAACGAAAGAAAGACAGAAAGAAAGAAAGAGAAGAGGAGCGCAGGGAGGCGGAGGAAACGTGTGAGTGTAGGAATGGTATTTTAACGCAAATTGGATAACTTATGAGATATGGCCTTAGCCGCGTCAGCGTCACCGGATTTACGGGCTACACTTCTTTACTTTTTTTAAATTTTTTTATTTTTTTTTTTCGTCGGTCTCAAATTAAATTTGCCAAGCGAAACGATAAATTCGCGTTCCTACTTCTTTCTTGTTCTTCTTCATTTTTCTTCTTCTTATTATTTTTATTTTTGCAATTCCGTTTTCGCGATTTTCGAAGCGAGATGTAGAGAACGGCGTTGCAGTCTAGTTTGTTGTTTCATTAAAACTTTTTTCGACTCGCGGCAAAGTTTATATTCTCCCCTTTAACGGGATCAGCCGCATAAGCAAGATATTTCGCGTGATTTACGCTCTCTTTCTTTTTCGCCTTTAAGGGCTGAGTTTTGAAAGTAAGTTGTTTAGTCGCCTATACAGCGTTTGCGAGTCCAATTTACATCCTTTGTTTAGCAGTCGCTGCTGCTTTGCTAAAAGTTATGTATTCAAATGAAGTACCACCGCGCGAGCGTTCTTGCTGCTTTTATGATGTACACTGTATACGCTTTTAACGAATAGTTGTGCCTGTATCCACGTCGAGTTATATATCATCATTGGCAACTCCAAGAACGCCCAAGTTAATTCGAATATCGTTGGAACAACAACAAAATAAGGAAAAAAATGGCTTTTTACGTCGAGCGGCATTCATAAAAAATACAACTCTATCGTAAATTCGAAAAATAATTGAGAAATAAGTTTGGCAATAAATATTCATCATCTTCCTCTCCAGGATTCTCCGTGTATCGATAAATTTCAATTGGCAACGGTTGAAATGGACAAAAAGAGGAGATGTAAGAAATATTTACAGCTCGGGGGAAATGAAACGATAGGGGACTACTAACCTGACGTTGATCGACTGCATGGGATGCTCCTGCTGCAGGTAAAGTGGCTGCTGGTACCCGCCGGGATCAAGACTTAGACCATCCGTCGACTGTTGCATACCGGGACCTGGCATCATCTGCTTGCCAAACAAAAATATCGTCCATTGTAAGCATGTGTGTGCTAAAATAGAACTTGGTGTTTTGTGTTTTCGGAGGCTCGCTTATTCAATTGGACATTCCAGCGATTGAATCAGCAAACAATTCGCCTTATTATTAGGCAACGAGGGACTTGAGCCGAGAAGAGTGAAAGTCACATATCGTACGTAAACGTGTGCCGCTGTCGTCCCGACGCTATTGAAAGCTCAATAGAAATTCCGGCGCGCGATCATTCGACACGGCTAATCTACGCTCAACCAAAATCTCATTCCTTCTCTTTTTCTCATCTATAGAGAGCCTATTGGCTTTTTACGAGGCGACATTAATATCTTTAAGGCGAATTTTGATATAAATAACTTGAGAAATGTTTATGCGCGCGCTGCTATATTGCGCAGTTGATAAGATATTACGTGTTTCAATATTACCGTACACTTGACTTAATTTATGAAATAATAAAGCCTTGAAAAAATACATCGATAAGATAAGGAATTCTTGGAGCATGACAATAAAAAAAAGTACAAGAAGGGGAGAACAGTTCTTTCCTTTTTCTGGATGGAAAAAATATATATACGACTATGTGTCAATAAATTAATTAAAGATAATACAGAATAGTCAAATATATGCCCGTCGTAGAACCGGAAAAGGTCCATTCTCAAAGTAAACACAAATGTTATCTACGTAGAGGACAATGTTTCTTCGAAAAGTATACTCGTATATATACATCACCTTGAGAAAAGTTATACTTTACGAAATGAGGTTAGTTAATTTCCATTCGTCATAGCGGTTTCGCATAAATATTGTGCTCAAGGTAGCAGAAAGAATGCGCGCAAGTGCAAGTCTGCCAAATACCTCGGAAAATAGGCGGGGGAGTATATCGAGTTAACGTGCGGTGCACGTATATACTCAATTATGGCGCTAATGGTCCTGATTATCGTCAAAGTCAAGGCGGATTAATCGTGTCGCTGGCGAAGGCGCGCGCGCGCGCGCAGACGGTAATTAGACTTCGGGAGATGACACTTGCACATCGATTTTCCCGCGTACCCCTCTCCCCTCGTCCTCGCCGCGGGAAAAGACGATTTCCACGCTAATTGGATAAATCCTCTTATAGAGCCCCACGGCGCGTACACCTATGCACACAACTGCCTCGCGTGTTTCATCGATAAAATTCAATTTAGATGTATGTCGCTCGCGCGCATTTATTAATACGAAATCCACGAGCGAGGAGCTCCTCGCTCTTCAATCTCGCCTCGGCGTGTAATTAAATTCGTATTTATTGACTTTATTGACTTTCTAATAAAGCTCGCCACACGTACGCGCATACGCGTGAGGCACTCTCGCGATAAATTGCACGCCGTTTTGCGTTTCCTTTTGTTTGCTTGTTTACGGAAAAAAAAAGAAAAAAAAAAAAAAAAACTCGTTGTTTTTGTCCGCGATAAATCGGCCAAAAGTAATTTAATCGGTCTCTCGCTGTGGCTATTAATCGCACCCGTGCGAAGTCGTAAGGTCGCGCTTGCACGAGCAACGATACGGTCAGAAATCTAAATTCCGCTCTCGTGGCGGCGAAGCAAGCGGCATCTTGATAAACACGTCAGCGCGCGTCTACGCCTCGACTGACGGGAGTCCCGTTAGAGCCCGAGCCTCTTTCGGTAAGGCCGGAGCTTTGTCGAGTACAGTGTGAGCAGTGGCTGTTGTAAACGGAGAGAAAAATCTATACATACGCGTATGTGTACCTGTGACTGGTATGGATGATGCATCGGCTCGTGGGACTGTTGTTGGGGGTGCTGCTGTGGCGGTTGTGGCTGCTGCTGTTGCGGCTGCTGCTGTGGATGCGAGTGCATCGCCGGTATGTCGAAGTCCTCGTCGCCGAAGCTCGGCGTGTGAAACGTCTGCAACGAGGGAGAAGCACCACAACGATATCATTGCCGAGCGGTGATCGTGGGTTTGTTCGGGCAAGAGGCAAATCGAGGACGGGACGATCCATCATCGCGGAGATTATCAGCGATTCGCCGAGGACGGCAGGCAGCGTTTTCATTCTCGGGATGAAGAAGTAGCCCAAGTTGCGCGGACAAGAAGTATCGTTCAAGTTAAAGAGGGCTAGGCTGTCGGATCATTTTTCTTCGCCGCGAGAAACTGAGACTCCCTCTCTCGCTCGCCATCTCGTTAAAACTTGCGCTCGCGAGACGAGAGTTATTACGACGCTTGCCCTCGCGGTCTAACGCCCGAGTGTTACGCTTTGATGCGCTTTCGTCGATCATCACACGCGCTTTATAATCGAGTTTGACCAAGTCACCTCTTTCTTTCGGTTCTTTGTTTCGGCTTTTCTTTCTTTATTCAGAATTCCAAACGAGCTCTTTGCGGTTTTCATTCTTTCGTGAGGCTTCGCTTCTTCTTCGCCTTCCCCTTTGCAAAGACTCTGTTTACAGCGTCTGTAAGCGCTTTCAAGGCGAAACTCAATGGATGCAGTTAGCGATTTTTTTTTCTCCTCGGAAAGAAGCTTTGCGCGATATTTTTTCAAAGCGCGAACGAACGCGTTCGCTCCGAGAAAAAGCCACTTTGATTTCCGAAGCTGCACTTCGGAGAATTACATCTTCAAAGGCAACAAACGAGAGAAATAGCAAGCCGGACTTATATTAATGTTAAATATTATTATTGCCAGAAGGGGAGAGAGCGGAAAGCCCATGAGAAAATATTATTACAGGTGGTGGGTCGGTGGGTCTGTCAACCGGCTGCCCCCTCCGCCGATTCTTCTCTGTGTTCTTGCGCGCGTATGTGGGCGCGCGCGCGCGCGGGCTCCAAGTTTTTTTCGAAAGCAACCACGCTAGTCGCGCTAATCGTCTCGGAAAATTTTTTCGGGCGATTCCGCTCATTTCTAACGGGCGTGCTCGCGTCGATAAATCCCCACCCCCAAAGTGCTCGTCTACCCATGCCTCGGGCAATTACAAATTACGATTGCAACGATCCAGGCTCTCCTCGGCTCATTTTTCGAGCGGACAATCGCGCGCGCCCAACTTCTTTCCGAGGTCTCTCGGTCAGATTTAGAGGGACGCCGGAGGACGCGAACGGCCGACTCGGGCGCGCGTCGCGCATTTCAATTAATTTCCCATTCGCGCGTGGAAAAAAAAGAAATCGAGAAACATTGATAAAAAAGAAGGAAACTTTTTGTTTTTTCTTTCGGACGGCAATTATTTCACCGAGTGGAGGGCAAGGGCCGTGCGAAAAAAAAAAAGTTATAATCGCTTTCTATTGATTGCGGTTTTAAAAAGCTCTCGAGAATTCAGTAACAATCAATTGAAAGCGCGCGTCTTAAAAAAGAAAAACCCGCGTCGAACTCAATTATTCCCAACGAGTGCAGAAAAGAGGAGAAAAAACACGCGGCTCTCTCTCTCTCTCTCTCTCTCTCTCTCTCTCTCTCTCTCTCTCTCTTGCGGGCGCGCGCGCGCGCGCACAGTTAAAGATTATCGAACACGTCCGTAATAAAAACGATTCCTATTATCTCACAGAGTCGAAGAAAAAAGCGAAGCTTTGGTAAAGGTAAACGATCTTGTAGAGAGAAGAGTGAGAGAGAGAGAGAAAGATAATAAAAAGTTATCGTCCCTTCTCTGCTGCTCGCAGTGCATCGGAAGACAGTTTGAGTGAGGTATTCGGGCTCTCGTTTTACGACTTGGTAATGACGTGTCCGGAATTGCGGGAAATTACACGCTTGCTCCTTTGTGTGTGTGTGCGTGTCTGTGCGTGTGCATGCGTGTGTGCGTGAGCATACTGTGCAACAGGAACAAACTACGAGAGAAAGAGAAAGAAAAGAAACAACGAGGTGGGAATGTAACAAGAGATAAGAGAGAGAAGAGAGAGAAGAGAGAAACGATCGGAATAACAGATTTTTGAGTGTCTTTTTTACCAACTTCACAATTTTGCTAGTTAACGAGTCGAGCACATACAGACACAACTTGCCCTTTTATTCGTTACGCGGCATTGGACAGAAATTGGATAGTCCGTGAAAAATAATTCATTTATTCGAGTACAAATCATACTCTAATCAAGCGTTACAAAAAAGCAGGAGCGTCTATCGCGAAGGATATTCGCGCGTGTTGGTAAACACTTATTATTGAAAATAAATATGTATTTTTCGTTGTTGGAATTTTAATGGAGAGATTGCGTGTGCGCAGCGCTAAAAGTATACGCGTACATACGCGAACACCCATTTTCTCATTTATGTAAGTAATAATTTCCATGTGGCAATATGTATAGGCATAATATAGATGTAAATGAGGCACGAGATGTTTAAAATGTTTCGAGATAAATTATCGATAATTACGCGCCCCGATGTACTACTTTATATGGAAGTAATTGCCCGCGTACGGCTTCCACGATTGTTTATTCACTCATCCACTGAGAGAACATCGCTTTCGATATTTATTTAGAAAACATTATTTTCGGTATATCAACCAATCCGAAAAGAAAGAGAGGGGGGAGGTACGTCGATGATTGATTGCAGCTGGCTTTATGAAAATGCGGAAGATTTATCGCACGCGCAAGCGTGAAATTTTTGCGAAAAAAAAACAAAAGACCTTTTTTGTTTTTATTCTATCTTTTATTTCAATTTTTTTTTGTGCGCGAGCGCGAGTTTGATGAATGGCTACGGGGTAAAAATTTACGACGGGGGTATTTTATGCGCATAAAGAATTGGACGAGAGAGAGAGAGAGAGAGAAAGAGAGAGAAAGAGAGGGGTAACAAATTGAAAAGCAATTCATATATACGTCCATCGAGAGAGAGAGAGAGAGAGAGAGTAATACTATTATTTTAAAAATGGTTATTTTTCTGGTGTTCTTGATTTTTGCGACAGTGAAAACGGACAGCGATTCGACGTTCCAGTATGCAAACATTAATATCTTAATGTATACAAGCAAATTAACATGGACGTTTTTCAAAGTCAATCTTGTCACTTCGGTCCAGCATATCGAAGTGAAAATCGTATATGTACGAAACGCTTATGGTCGTCGTTACAAATTTTGCAATCAATCTGTTAAAACAGTTTAACGATCGCCGAGTTGCGCGCGCGATAATTTCGCAATCAGCCGTTGATTTATATTATCATATTTTCACGCCTTTCACTCGATTTATCAATCACACGCGCGCGCACACGCACATACATACAACTTCTCTATTTCTATCGCCCGCGTGCGCAAGTTTTAATATATTCTAATAACCTCGTTTTGCCAATTTTCATTAAATAGTCGTTACATAGTAGGTTCAATTTAAAAAATGTATGCGTGCAGTTTTGTAAAATGCCGTCGATCGCGAACAGAAAACTATAACGTGCGACGAGCATCGATTTACTCGACTTTGCAAGCCATCATAACAAAACGGGATACTCCGAGTAAGCAAACTGTCAGCGAATTCGTTTGTTTAATGCTTCGACTTTATAAAAGCACGAGTTTTGCATCGTCGAATGTACACAACTTGTAATTAACAGTGAAATAAATGGCCGCCGAGAAAACGCAATAAAGTGAAAATTGACGAATCGCGATGTGCAATTAGTCCCCGATAAAAAGCCATTTACAAGGAGTCGTTACGTGCGCTCCTGAAAGACGCCGCATGAATGAACGCGAATTTCACAATCGAATTGCAATCGTTCGTTTTACAAACGCATACACACACACACACACACACACACACACACACACACACACACACACACACACACACACACACACACACGCACGCACGCACGCACGCACGCACACACACACACACACACACACACACACATCAATTGAGAGACAAAAGAGATTGTTTGCAAAAGCACAAGAAAAACGAAGGCCAAGCTCGTTTAGATCGAAATGTAATAACGGATGCGTGAAAAACGGCATATGGGATGCCAATCGGATACTCGACGTTCTATTAATAGAGCAACAAGAGCGAGGCAAGGGCATTAATACGTCGTTACGAAATTCGCAATGCAAACGCAAGCGCATAAGCGAATGTCAATGCGACGCGAACTTGCGAGCAGTACAACTCGAATTAGTTGTCATCTGCGTTGCGCAACTTGTGCGCGAGGCGCGCGATTATCGAGTGGCAACAAAAGATCGAGACGGAGCTCTTACGCAACGCGAAAGGATTATTAATAATAAATAATGGAGGCGCGATGTCGAACAATCGACGCGATATTTGCAGGCCCGGGGACCTGGGATGCTCGTTAAAATCACACGATGCGTTATTTATAGCTTATTGCCAATTACATGTGCACAGAGCCGTGAGGGCACCGAGAGATCGCTTTCAGTGATTTCACTTTGGCACGAAAGATTCAATGTCGGAGTCGCGTGATTTTTCGTCGTTCGTCGAGCGAAAAGCCGAGCGTTCGTTATTATAAACATCGCCGCAACGATTGGTCAATCGATTTGTCTCGCTTCGTCGTTGTTTGCTTTTTTCTTTTTTTTCTTTTTCTTTGCCGTCATCGCTGAGAAATCGACGCTAATAAATGTAGACGAAGAGGATTAATTATATCGCGCGCGCGCGTTCATCGATAAGTCAACGTTGTTTGTGTGTGTGTGTGTGTGTGTCGCTTGAAAGAAACGCGCGAAGGAAAAGAGGCTATCATTAATGAGCAGATTATTGCATTTACAGTTAGCGCGAATTTTATCGTAATTGAGTATCTCGTTTATCTCGGTAATGAGGTGTCCACGTTTTTCCCTCACTAATATGTCTGTGTCCGTCTGTGTGTGTGTGTGTGTATGGACGTGACTATTTTACTCTAGACTTTCTTTATGTATCTTTTCAACTTTATCTCACGCTCATTATCGCCGTCAATTTCCAAGTTTAATATTTCTCTTCTTTCTTCGTGGCCCGTACTATACCAAACCACGATGACGAAACTGTCCTATTGTCATTCCGATCTCCACGAGAGTTTGATTTATCGACAAGTGAAATTCGAAATGAGATACTCCCGTATGAATAATAGAATAGCTGAATAAATCGACCTCGTTGTTTTTCCTTACTTCATGGCGAAATAAGCATCCGAGTGGAATTTTCCATGCGAGCGCGCGATAAGAACTTTACTCTTTCGTTTTCGTTTTTAATATCGTCTATTTCATCGAGACATGCGCTATCCTCCGATGCCAACTATTTTCTTTTCCATATGTACACATAACAAAGGATGAAAAACCACGAGTGCATTTGATCGAGGAGGGCAAAAAGAAAAAACCTAAACGTCGCGGGGAATAACTGTTTGGTGTCAAGCATTTGATATGCATTGGCAACGATGGGAAAGAAAAGAGTTTGGTTGTCGTTCGATTGATTGTTCGCAGGGCGCGTGCCAAGTTCGGCGAGACATAAGTCGAAGGAGGAGGATCAGGTGGAGGGAGCCATTAAAGGCGAGGTAGTGAATAATTATTAGCGAGCGACTTACCTGCTCAGCCATGTTGTAACCGCCGTCGTGGTGATGATGGTGGTACGACGACTGGTGGTGTTGCGGCACGTTCAGGGACAGGTCGAGGTTGTTCTCGCTTCTCTGTAACAGAAAGCAGGCGCGCTCTGTAAGACGAGTGGATTGCCGAGCTCGAGAAGGCGGCAGCGGGAGACGTCGTCGCGTGGAAGCGCATCTCTGCCCCGTTGCGCGAACCAGGCGACGAGCAAGCCCTCGCATCTGCGTGCGTTTGAGCCGCGATCATAGCGGGCGGCTGGGGTGCCCCGCGAAAACTTTCCGCTTCGACGACTGCAAATTCTTCTCCACGCGCTCTCGCATATCTCTCTCTCTCTCTCTCTCTCTCTCTCTCTCTCTCTCTCTCTCTCTCTCTCTCTCTCTCTCTCTCGTACATCAAATGTGGGACGCTGATTTTCTTGGAAAGGTTGGGCGACACGCGCTACATACATTCGGCGTGCGTGTAAAGATAAGCCGTGCAGCTGTGCGACATGGTCGAAAAGAGGCATACAACGCAGTAACAGACTCTCGGCTTGCAATGGCGACTCGTTATCGATTTTTACACTTTTCAAATTTACATAGTTACGCCGTCTGTTTTTAAGCTTTTAGCGTACAAGTAACAAAATACTACACACAGAGAACAAGAGAGAGAGAGAGAGAGAGGTACAATGTACACACCAGTTTTCTTTCCATCAATGGCAGTCTTTTTTGTCTCTCTTTCTCTCTCTCTCTCCCCACCTTTCCAGCGCAGAGTATAAAAAGGTGCTTAGGGCAAGCATTAGCGAGCGAGCCACCGCCGCGTACGGAAAGCGAGTCAACACAAGGAAAAGAAAGAGAAAAAAAAAAGAGAACATGGCGTGTACACAGCTGTGTTTCATCGGATAATAACGAGTTGAAGAAGAAAGCAAGTAGTAAAACAAGGGAGAGTCGGTGAACTTTAGCGAGGATGACGCTCCGAAAGAATGATATTTTGGTCGCTGAATCCGTGGCTAATTTTTCGCGCGCGCCGATTGCTGCTTTCGCGCATATGGACGGCCAGGCGACGTCTTGAGGAAAGACGACCGAGATAAGCATCGCTTCCGCTTTGGCGTGTATCGCTTTTGTAGGCGGCCAAGGGGCACCGGGATTGCGTTTGCGCGAGCGCGCGCGGGTGAATGGACTCCGAGTCTGCTTCTTCTTCTCTCTCGTGGAGTATTCGTTTCGTTGCCTCTTGTCCCGGTCCCCGATGAACGAGCGTTTTTCCATGCGCGACATTTTCGTTCTGCGCCCCGCTGTACCAGCTCGATCTTTCGGCATGGATTGTCTCGCGCCGACTCGCGTCAAACTGCCCAGGCAGATGACAACTGTAAGCGCCAGCTCGGGATTAAGTTCGAGTCTGTTGGCGCGAGCTGCGATCAAGTGGCCGAGGACTGTGCTCGAAAAGCGATTCAGCAATTTGTCCAAGCTTCTTTCTTCGAGTGAAAAAGCCGCGGTACAGTCGAACGATCTTACATGTGTAATCCTTGAAGTGAAGTCTCAAACTTAATTAACGCCGCGTCACGTCAATGTCGCGCGTGAATCAATTCAATTAAGGTCGCTCGCGCTCGCTGCGGACACTACACACACACACACACACACACACACACACACACACACACACACACACACACACACACACACACACACACACACACACACACACACACACACACACACACACACACACACACACACTCACACTCATTTTAATAAGCCGGAAATGACGATCGACAAGCAAGTAAGAAAAACGTAATTGAGTACGCAGGCGCTGTGACTCGTGCGTTGCGTCACTCTGTTGGTGCGCGCGCGCACGTAATGAAGTGCGCACCGCGGCCAAATGGAAAGTATCGCTTAACCCCCGCGCCCTTCTGCCCTTCTGCATTATCGATCGACCGAGAGGAATACAGACCTCGCGGAGCGCAAACTTGGAATAAACCGCTTCTCCGCAACTCCGCCGGCTCGGGCGATATTTCAGCCCGAGCGTTATTGATTGTTGCGCTCGGCGCAGCAACAAACCCGAGATTGTTGCACTTCTCCTTTTCTTCCGCTCTCGTCCATTAATAACCGTGCGAGTTTCGCGGGAAGCGAGCTCCGCGCGTTATTCAAATGCTGTTATTTTATTCAGCGAATTTCAATGGAGTCGTAAGTTCAAACGCGAAAGGGGAGGGGAGGGGGCCCAAGATTTGCATGGAAATTGCGAAATTTAATTGGAGTGCGAGATATTTTTGCGAACAGCTCCACATCTCTATCTGCTTATACCCGACGAGCGAAAAAAAATCTGATGGCGAACGGATTTTTCGCGCTCGCGAGAGCCTGAATATTCAGCGCACGATGGCGTGTTTTGTAAAATCCAGCTTATCACCTCTCGGAAAAGTGTTAAACGTTCGTCTATTAGAGTCCAAGTTTCTCTCTATTAACACGTTCGCCATCATTCTAATTCGTTGTTCAAACAGCGTGTTTTTGTCCATCCAGCAGTCGTCGCGGGGTATTAAGAAAAAAAGGGAAAAAAGCGCTGTCGGAATATAAATGGAGAAGCAAGTATATTTCCGTCGAGGGAGAGAGATACAAAAAGAGAGGAATTAAAAATACATCGTTAAACCTCGCAACACGTACAATGTCGGGATTTTAATACACCTCTCTCTCCCCTCGAGTGCAATATAATTCCGACGCGCGCATGCACACAGACACGCGGCGGGCAGAGTACACGGTGTATTATATTCCAAAAAAGACGCTAGCTCGCGCGCTTTCACCGACACGCGATATCGCGCGCATCAACTTGGAAATGGTTATTTTCATTTTCCCTCTCTCTCTCTCTCTCCGATGATGAATCGCGCGCGCGATGTATTCGAAATTGATTGATAGGCCGGCAAGAGAGGCAAAAGCGATATTCTATTTTTGAGCGCGAGCCGAGATATAAATAAAAGTAAAATAGCGCGACGCTGGAAATAGACTGCGCCGCGCGCGATATGTTTGATCTGCTAATTCGTGTTTGCTCGTCCGCTTCTTCTTCGCACGCACTTTTATTATTTTCCACTTTCGAGCGCGTTTGCGCAACGCGCACCCGCCGATTTCATTCGCGAGAGATGATGAAAGTACGCGGGAGAGCTTTCAGATAGATTAAACTTACTGGTTGCCCCCCCCCCCCCCCCCAACGCAACGATACTAAAACACGCTCTGCATCGCCAGCTTCGTTGCGTTTTTATTCTCTCTGTGGGAAGAATTATGCGACACACTGGCAGCTATCGCGCACACCGCTTCTCTATTTATGCATACAGTTGCACGTGCGCGCGCCAACCTCTTTTACATTCCAGCACATGTACGTACGCCGCGGAGCCCAAAACTCGCCTTCCAGCCCCGGGAAAAGGGGCAGCAGCTTCGTTTTCTCGTTTTCCCTTTTCGCACAATGCTCCCGTACTGTTGCGCAACTGTCTCGGCCGTAACTGGTCGAGAGGCCGCCTTGCTCCGCCGCCGAGTGCCATTGATTGGCGTTCGCGTAATTCGCGCGGAGAATGCACATGCGGGCTCGCCGGATCGCCGAACTGCAGTGATATCGAGTGTGCCGCGGCGCGCTCCCGACTGCTCGCGAAAAAGCCGCGAGATAACGAACGAGCGGCTCTCGGCGCTGGTCGATCTCCGCGTCGCGAGCTCGCTAGTCGGCGAGAAACGCACTGCCCGTTCTATTTCTGGAAACAAAGTAACGGGTTCGCTTTCCCGATGGATAACTTGGCCGAGATGTAGGTTATTACTTTCTCGGCGCTCTGCAAATACGCGCGCCAAGTTTCGACATTGGAAAATATTTGTTTATAGCAGCGGACTGCTTTGATAGTCTGAAACAAGGAAAACGGGTTATGCTAATGCGAAACCTCGATCCGTACGAGAGTCTAATTCAATTTGGACGCGTCGCGCGATAAATATTACAGCGATATAATATAGTCGTTAAAAAAATAGATTCCAGCAACAATTTAATACAACTCGTTAAAGTACGTAATACAACAAAGTCGTTTTATGTATGCGGAGCCGCGTGACACACAGCTTTTCCCCCCTTTCTCTCTCTCGCTCTCGCTCTCGCTCTCGCTCTCGCTCTCGCTCTTTCCTCGTGAATTAAACGAAGCGTGCACAAGCAACTAATGAATTCTTCAACGTAACAAGGCGACCCTTTGTGGAGAAAAAGCCATTAAGAAAATATTAATAGAAAAGCAAGCTGTACGTAGGTTGTTATTACTGTTTTTGTTTGTCCAAAGAGAATAGTCCCCGTTGTGTGCGCGTTTTAATCTCGAAAGAGAGAAGAGAGAGAGAGAGAGAAATGAGTAGCATGTCGTGTATCGATTTGTTCGACTGTAAGGGTTAGCGCAAGATGGAGGTTAAGCCTGTTTATTTGCGGCCATTGTTGAACAGACGCGCAACGGAAAAATGAAAATGTTATCGAGCGTGAATAATTTATTTGCAGGTCCCCGAGACTATATTTAAAACCTCGTCTAATCTAATGCTCCCCGCCGCTGCATCTGCCTCTTGAGTGAAAAAAAAATACTCGCTACGAATGTATATATAGCTTCACGGTTATGTCTGTGTGTGCGTGCAGCGATGTGTTGAGAGTTCGACTTTCTACTAATAACCATTCGATGTAATCAAGATGGAGCGAAAAACGAGCCTAGAAAGATACTTTGAATAAATATTATCGAGTGTTTGTTTCTTTCTATCCTTTTAGAAAGTCGACAACGTATCTAATCTAATTCGCGCTTTGCTCTTAGTTACGTAAAAAACGAACAGAAAGAACAAGAAAACGAGAAAAAGGGAAGGAAAGAGAAAACTAGCAAGAAGACGCGGATATCGAGGCACGCGTGTGGACTCTTTGTCTTTTACTACAATCAGAATGATAAACAGTAAGAAAGGCGCATCGTCTATTTTCATAGATATAAAAGCCGACGGCACAGTGAAGTCGGAGAGCGTAATTAAACGTGACATCACTGCCACGGCCTTAAAAATCAAATCAAATATGAAGGCTTTCGGGAAGAAAGCAAGGAGAGCGCGCGTGCAGTGGTCGCTTTCTCAAAAGTGGGCAAGAGCAAATCGAT